ATACTCTAGTTTGGGGGTTTAGATATTCCCTACACCCCTCCCTATATGCACACAATTAACTGTTTAGTCTCCCTGCAGCTGTGTCCGTGTAATGGTAAATCACTTCTGAAGTCCAACTAAATTTCCCATCTAAATCTTTTAGTTAGGCAGCTAATGTGTTGCTTAAATTGTGCTGTGTTACTTTGATTCTGGCAGACTAAGGTATAAAGTCAGGCTAACCTACCTGAGGCCATTAACCACTCTATAACTTTTATTAACTTGCTCTTAGTAATTAGCAAGAGATTCTCTTTTCCCTTCACAGTTTTACCAAGTCCCGAGTTGCTGTTCTCTCCAGGAATAGCATTCATCTACCCGGTGGTTTCTAGAAATACTTTGTCCAATACTGTTGTGAATGGCAGCTGGGAGGTGGGGAGAGACTGGAATATGCAGAAATTGCCTTGTAGCTGACATCTCCAGGCCTGATGAGAAAGGAGGGGAATGTGCCCGATACATAAGGCAGGCTTCTAGCCAAAATAAATCTTGAGGATAATTTAGACTTATAAATTTCACTGAGCTGACTGTAACAAAACTGTGGCCAAGAGTAAGAAGTGACTTTGTTTGAAAATGTGTACTTTTTTCTTCAAACTGAAAAACAAACAAAAAAAACCCCTATTCTGTTGGTGGCATAAAGCAGTTTTCCTCAGTCCATGTAAGACACAAAAGGCTGAGCTTGTTCTGGAAGAATTATCCTTTGACCAGTAAACCAATACCATCCCTCCTTTTATATACTAATGAAAAGAACTTGCTCTCCACACATGGATTCAATGGGGTAGAAGCTGTCAGGAAAATCCAATGAAAGGATTAGCTAAACTCAAATAGATTAATTAGAGCCCTTGATTGTGTCTTGCTATGCGAAAGTCACAGGAAAGGCAATGGCAATGACAGTGAGTTCATCTTTACAGGTATGTGGTGGGGAGTGGGGGGAGGCAACAAGGAATATGGTGGGTAAGAAGCAAATCTGAGCAGTTTCAGTCTTGTTCTTAAAAGCTGCCTCTATTCCTTATCCATCTTTGTGTGGTTGAAAATGGAAAGGTTTTAATAGGCATGGAGATTGTGATCAGCTCCTTATGATCAAGCCATAACTCAGTGTTGTATTCAATTTTCTTTTTTTTACCATCTCCCCTGTCACATAAGACAATGTGTCCTACTGGCCAGAGCTAGGAACTGAACTACTGCTTAAGGCTTCTGGCTGCCTAATACAAGGCAGGTAACTTGTTCAGTTCCTCAACATGTAACAAATGTACCAACTCGGAGTGTAACTCGGAGTTCCACTGAGGTTTGGAGTAATTTAATTTTCTATGTCTGAAAACCCAGTAAGTCACCTAATTTTCAGAACTAGTGATGGTTAAGCTGTTACAAAGGGCAAACTATTGATCATAGCCATCTAAATCTTGCTCTTAATATAGAATTTTTCTATGCTTGAAATGTTGTAGTCATTGTATCTGCTTTTTTGTTCAATTGAGGTATAGATAACTTATTGCTTGGGTAACTATAGATAACTTATTGCTCTCCCAGAACAGGAGAGTTCTGGATGTTGCCATGCCTAGTATGGAGCCTGGATCTTTGCATTAATATGGGATACAGAATTAAATTTGTGACATAAGAAATCTCCAGCCTATGGCTGCTGAGTGGCTTTCAAACTTGTACTAGCTTGTTATGCAGTATGCGTTCTCCTGTAGCACAATTTTTGTGCCTGCTTTTCCAAGTAAAAAAAGGCCTTGAGATTATTGAAGAGTCTAAACAAGAAGAAAGTTTTCACTTAATAGGTCATTAAACTTTTTTTTGCTGTGCCAACATGTTTTTCTTTGTGGTTTTTTTTATGCTATACTACAGTATGACCTGTAAGCAGCATGAATTGATTTTGATCTCAGGGCTTTTTTTCTTCAAAATGCTTAGTGTAAAAAAAGCTTAATTTGGTGGGGATACAAGTTGCTGCAAATAAGAAACGCAATCTGCCAAATACAGCTTTTGTACAGGAAGATAAGTGACTCTGCTGAGGTATTACTTCTTGATAAGCTTGTGGGCAAATAGATCTTCCCAGGATTTAAGCCAAAAATTACTGCCACTTGATTACAGTGGGTATTTGAAGAGTTTGCTGATTACAGAATTCTTTTATCTTCCCTGAACTGGGAAAGGCCATGTTCCCTTTCTGTGAGTAATGCATCTGAACTGGATATCCAAGACCATCTGTCAAACGGTGTTCAGTGAGTACACCTGACTCTTCAAGCCAGGCTAATTGCATATGTTAAGAGGTTGCTCTAAGTGTAAGGAATCCAGCCTGAATATATAAATTACTTTGGAAGACAAACACAGGTTTAAAAAAAAAACAACTCCAACACTATACTGATTAAATCAAAGCACTTTCTTTCTCTAAATTACAAATAGGATAAGGAGAAGCACCTTCTTCAAAAACTTTATACAGGAAGATTTAGACTCATCTTAAAAGAATTTTTTTAATGCCACAGAACTGGGAAAGATACTCTTTTTATCATTCAGCATCATATCCACCATTATTTATTGCCAGCATATGCAGGAAAGGTGCTACTTTGTCAGCTCTTTTGAAATCAGAAAAAAAATGTCCCTGATTCTGAACAAGCTGACTTGAAGATCACTTCTCTTTGCTTTATTTTGGGACTCCCAAGGTTGAGAGGTTGGGTGTATGGGCTAGTGCTGGGACTTGAGAGAAAAAGGCTTCAGGGTTGGAGTGAATCTTCTGATTGTAGTCTTGCTACTTAGGAGGGTGTAGCAAAGATGGAGCCAGGCTCCTCTCATCCTGCATAGGGTAAGAGGCAATGGGTACAAGATGCAACATAGGGAATTCTGGTGAGATTTTTTGGGGGAAAAAGCTTCACTGCAAAGGCAGTCAGATACCAGATCAAGGGCCTAGAGAGGCTGTGGGATCTCTACCACTGTTGTTACTCAACATGCAACTAGACAAGGGCTTGTGTGACCTGCCCTAAGTTGCCCTTGTTTGAGTGATTCCTTCCATACCAAATTATTCCATGATTCTATTTTCTTTATTAATTGGATCTATTTTGTGTAGTTTTCATGATGACAGGATCACTGTTGAAGATGTTAGCACTAACAATGTAGTTTTCATAGAATCATAGAATGGTTTGGGTTGGAAGGGACCTTTAAAGGCCACCTAATCCAGCCTCTCTGCAATGAGTAGGGACATCTTCAACTGGAGCAGGTTGCTCAGAGCCCCGTCCAGCCTGACCTTGAACATTTCTAGGGATGGGCATCCACCACTGCTCTGGGCAACCTGTGCCAGTGGTTCACCACCATCCTCATAAAAAAAAGTCTTCGTTAGATCTAGCCTAAATCTACCCTCTTTTAGTTTAAAACCATCGCAACAGGCCCTGCTAAAAAGTTTGTCCCCATCTTTCTTATAGGCCCTCTTTAAGTACTGGAAGGCTGCTATAAGGTCTCTCTGGAGCCTTCTCTTCACTGAACAATCCCAACTCTCTCAGTTTATCCTCATAGCAGAGGGGTTCTGTCCCTCTGATCACTTTTGTGGCCCTCCTCTGAACCTGTTCAGAGAGTCCATGTCTTTCCCGTGCTGAGTTTTCTGCAGTGTTACTGTAGGGCTACAGCAGCAAAGGGCAGAGACTGAGTTTCACTGTTTAAAAACTCACCTCCAAATTGTGTGCATCTTACTTGTTTTGTGAAGGGGCAATGTGATCTCAAACCATCTTTTTGCCTCTAGCTTCCTTTTCTCCCTGTTCACCCCAGCAGTTGTCTTGTACCTGAAAACTCTGGAAATTTGTATTAGAAACTTTCTCTGGAAGCTGTGAGGAAAACTAATTGAGTCTCTTCTGTTCCTTAATGTAAATAAATCCTCCTTATGCTGTGTAGTATCTTGATCATGCTTTCCATGTGTGGGTTCTTTTAGCCTATGTGTGTTTTACCACTGCGCAGCTTTTGGTGGTTTTTAATGAGCACTCATTTACTTTATTTTCCTCCCCCTGCCTCTTGGAGGCAGCAAAGATTTTAATGTAGTTCTTGCTGTGCTATCCTTGGAATAAGAATCCAGTGCTGCTGCGTAGCGAGCTAGGTAACTAGCTGTTTCTTTGTGTTAGGCTTGTGCTATGAGGCAAGGGAATATTGCATGTAAGTAAGGTTAATCCCTTTTAAATGAAGCTTTGTTAACGAGATTAATCCTAAAACTGGTTCACAAGAAACTTGCTTTTTTAAAATCCACTTTTAAAAGTGAAAAGGATCTGATACCAAATCCACAGGTTAACTTAGATCGAAGGGGGACATCAGAAGCGCATCTTGCCAAACACACAGTTCCAAACAAGGTCAGCTATGAGGTCAGGCCAGGTTACTTGGGGCTTTGTCCAGTTTGATCTTTGGAAACCTGGACTGGCTAATAAGGTTCAATTTCACTTTAGGAAATGGCTCAGTAAACACCTGTTAACTAAGAATTTTAGGGTTTTATATATATATAAAATTAAGAAACTGATTACAAAAGGCCACTAGAAGATTTGGAGAGGTGCCCTAGTCATGTTGTGTAGCACTACAATGGTACTTAAAACTCAAAGCCCTGCCTTTTGCTACAAGATGCTGTAGTTGATCCTGGGCTTGTGTAGCTCCAGGTGAATTAAGCTACTTTTCTGTTTTCAGTCTGATGCTTGGGTAGTGTGTTTAGGCTGAGAGCCAGGGCATTCCTCATGCCAGGTAGGTGATGGGTCATGTCTCTAAATGCTTCTGGAATAATGAAGACTAGAATTCAAGTGTGGGTGTACTTTAGATCTGACACACCAACTGGTTTCCTGCTTGTTTGAAACTTTGTACAAAATGCTTTCTGTAGATTTTGGGGGGGGAGGAGGACCCCAAATGCTTGGCTTTTCAAACTTTTAAAGTATGTGCTGTATTTTTTAATACAGTGCTGTACCTCTTATCAGAACAAGCTAAACCCTAAAATATTTTGGGCAGTGTATCTTCTAATGTGGGTCATGGCTTTTAACTATAAAGAGGTTTGAAAATTGATGACCATATGTATTATGTAGAGATGTTCTACAAAAAATGCATTTATTCTAGAAATCTCACTTCTGTAAACACATCTGCTCATCTGAAATCAACAGAGTGCTCTAATGAGTATCCCATGCTGGGATCGGGGTGAAAAGAGTATAAACTAAGCAAATGTGTTATGGAAAGGGTACCTAACTTGGATCTTCTTCTTTGGGAATCAATTTCTGTTCCTTCCTCCTCTGACCCCTTAACATCTGGCTGTCACCCCTCTTATGCTAGGGACTGTTGTAGCTGACTTGTCATGCTTTGTAATGGAGTGTGAATGCAGCCAGGTGAAATCCAGGGTTTTTTAAAAACTTTTTCTTAGTAACTGAGATTTGGAGGGAAAAATTAATTGTATAGTATTTTTCCAATAACTATCACAAACATAGTCATAAGCTTCAGGCTTGGTTTAAACTCTTGTGTGAAACCTGACATCTACTGGTGGGAACCGTAATTGGACTCTCCTCAGTGTGGAGGCATGTGCTGAAAAGCCTGTTTTATTGAATTTCTGGCTACTTTGGCCATAGGTGTTGCATCGTACCTTGCCCTAGAGTAAATGGTGTTTAAATATAAACTTAAGTCTAAAACTTCCAGGGAAACTGTAACTGCAGTATACTTATGTACAAGCATATAGGTATTAACAAAGGTGATTGAACTTTCAGTTAACTGTATCTGCTTTGAATGTATGTATAATGGCTAGATGACAAACTTTGTAGGCTTACATTTTAGACCAACTTTTGTAACAGTATTAAAGACTTCATATAGTCTTAGGCTGTTTAAAAACATCCTAATTTTTCTTTCTTATGTCTTTAAAGGCTTGCCATGGATGTACATCTCTATCTAAATGTGATTGCAGTGGAGTAAAAGGTGAAAAGGTAACAATCTTTTTTTTTTTTTTTTTCCTGGCAGACCAACACACAAACCACTGATCCATATGCCAGCTTCAGATAACTGAAGCTTACAGATGATAGCTTTTTGCTTCTTCCTCATGTCTTATTTTCTTTGACTGTGGTGTGGGCATGCACGAAAGAGCATAGCTGTTATAACAACTTCAAGTATTGAGTCAGACAGACTGGTCCATCTGGTGGTGTACAGAATTTCATATAATTATTTTCTTAAGAATGGGAAATGATGGCACAAATTTCTCCAGCTATGTGGGAGTAAAAAAAAAAATCCAGAAAAGACACAAATTCTAGTAAAATACAAAGAATTCCTATTTACTGCTGAGGCCTGCCTACACTAACGAGTTAGTGTAGACAAGCGAAGGTGTGTAGATTGTACAATAATGGCTATGCTAGTAATCCTTCAGTGAGAATTTAAAACCAGAGTTAAGTGTGGCTTGCTTTCCCACTTTTCTTGCACTGCCTGCTCATAAGTAGTTGATATTCACTAACATGCTCTGAACTTGCACTGTTTCTTAGCTCATAACTTGTATAGCTGTATACTAAGATGATTGCTGTCTGGATGCTCAGCTGGACTGTGGAAGTGACACGATTCAGATGCAGTTTTCCCAACATACATAGCTGCCACCCAAGTAAGCAGCTAGTTAATGACCAAATGTGTTCTCGGATCAAGCAGAGTAAAAAACCATCCCCAAACCCAAAAAACAGCCCTGTGTGGTTCATTCAGTGCAACAGGATGTCTTGGGCTGCCCAGTGTCCTAAGGCCAAGAGATGCATGTTGACATCTTGGAGCTTTCCTGCTTCCATGCAGCTTTGACTTCCAGTCTCACTGCCTGAGCTCAGTGTATCTGTGCAGTACTTCATGTTTCTATCACCATTATTTCTTATTGTTCTATGTTTTTTTTCCTTTGAGGAAACAGCAGGTGCCCAGCATTTCTTATAGTTACAATGCAGTGTAGATACACAGCTCAATACTTGCCTGAATTGAGCCTTTTCTCAAGTGTGGGAGCCTAGTTGCAAGTAAATTGTGGTTAAATGGTTCCCATATAATTGCTGTTGTCAGAGGGAATGAATGCGATATGATCACTGCAAGCCTCCCTTGCTTGATACACTTCCACTCTTAGTCATGTAAACAGTTTTCTTGAGATACAATGGAGTCTTCTAAAAGATGTGAACTGATAACAGAGAGTTTGATCAGCCTGTCTTATCAAACCACTTACCCTATCTTAACAAGGTTCTAGAAGGGCTTCAGTGCTCTAGATTAATCTCTGACACATTTCAAAGGTGATTTTTGACAGTGCATAAACAAGCGTAACCTCAAATGAACGAAAGTAATGCAAAATAATCAGTCACTGCATTGGCATTATAATGTGCTGACACAGAATTTTACTATTGGCTGGGGTTGAACAAGGCAGATGTCCAAAATTGAGGGTAATTCTTGGTGTAACACCTGCCATCCAGATAGCTCCAGATAAGATCATTCCTTGGCATTTACTTGCTTCTAGTTCATCAAGTATATTCCCAATTTACATACCCAGTGAAGAACAGTATCCCCCTGATAGCAAGCTTTCTGAGTTAGACTTGGTTAGCCAAAACATGCATCTGGTTGATGTGTTCCTACAGGATCTTCAAATGCAGGTGGCCAAAGCAGATGTATCCTGACACTAGTCACAGGACTATTTCAGGTTCAGTTTGAAGGCACTTAAGCATTAGGCTTACATTCCCAATACAATCACAGTGGGTACAACTTTGGAGAACCTCTCTGTAGTTCTAAGTTGGCCTTCTTCTGGTCTAGTCACAGCAATTCTGTGAATTCAGTGAACAAATGGGTATTGTCCGTCTAGTGTGGATAAGGAAAACCTAGAAGTAAATCTGCTGTCTTTCTAAGTAAAATCAAGCCATTATTTTCTCTCAGTGATTCAGCTTTCTTTTTATACTACTGTTGCATGTGCAGGGACCATGATCCACTCAATACATTTCAGTCCTTCAGTGTCATTTAATGAAATGGTAATACCTTCCTCGGGTAAAGAATATCTTGGGACTGTTTGTTGGAGTCAGAGGGAGCTTTTTGTCCAAATGCAGTCAACAACTGGACCATATGAGCCTTGTTCAGGATCGAGCTCTCAAGTGTCATTATGTATTGTGGGTTTTGTTTCTAGTCCTCCAGACTATCCTAGAAAATTGTTAAGGGGAACAACACAGGAGAAACTCTTCCACACTTAAGGCCAACAGAGGTTGGAAACTTTCTGGAGTGAATTATAGGAAGTCCTGAGCAGAAGAGTGAGAAGCTTGATAATCTTTTGTGAAAAGGAAATAGGGAAGGAAAAAAAAAGCCTCCAGTAAAACAAGCATAACATCAGACCAAATACTTACATTATTTCTGCATCTTCCTGGAAAATTCTTGGGGGGGCTGCAAGTTGATCAAAGTGTAATCTTTTAATAAAATTAAAAAAACCCCAAACAACAAAACTTAAAGGAAAACAGAGCTTCACCTATGGTAAGACTGCTTTCTGTCTTTTTTTTTTTTTTTTGTATGTCTGAGTCCTCTTAGGAAAGGGGGTGTGTGTCTGAGACTCCCAATTATTAAACTCATAGATATAAGGCAAGTTTCCATCCTTGGAATGGAAGATTCACTTTGAAATCTGGGAAGTGTAATTCATTTTCCACCTCAATCAAGGTGAACACAGTATAGTCCTAAGGCGTGCCAGAGGTTTTCTGTTTTGTTTTTGTTATTTTTCCTTTTTAAAAACCACCCTTCAGAAGCTTGCAGGCCATCCTGTATGTTATGTAAAGAAACAATGAAAAGCAAAGACCATAGTTCTTAGGTATGATGCGTTGCCAGTGGAACTGGTTTGGTCATATGTGCACTCACCCCATTATGGTAGATGCCCTGTAATTACAAAGCCCTCAGTATTTTAGGCATGGATGGATTCAGCAGTTCAGCTCTGGGGAACCACAGCAGTTCTGTCACTGACACGCATAATGCTTTCTCTATAAATTCTTTGTTTGGTTTTTTTATTTACAGTCTTAAACTTTTCTAGAGTCTTGTACCACTTATACATTTGATGCAAGAAAGTATCAGGTTTGGAAACTTACAAATGTTATCTTTATTCCAGCTGAGTGGAAACTGCTGCTACAACAATTTTCAGGTTTTTGCTTTGTATTTGACACTTGACATTTGGTGTTTCTGCTTCCTTCTCCATTGACCTCTGAACCAGGAGTCAAACTCTGTAGCTCCTTGCCTAATTGGTGTGTGAAGAGCATTAGACAAGGAGCTGTTTAAATAATCTCCCCTCTTTGATTCTCCTATTGAAAGTGTGATAATGTACTTGTAGAACTACTGGAAGTCAGGTGTATGGAACCTGGTTCTGTACTGGGAAGACAAGAAAAGCCTTGTCAAATGCACGCAGCTGAGCCCCGTACTTCTGTTCCACTGTGTTTCACTTCTGGCCTGCAACCAGCTTCTGCATCCAAGTTGCTGTCCACTTGCATTAAGTCAACTAAGAAGCGCTGCTTTGTTCAGCTTAGCAGAGCCTAATGCGTTCCTTTTGAGACTCAAAAGTAGCCTTCTTCCTAATCATCCTAGCATTCCCTTCAGGATATCCAAATTTTAACAGATCGGGTAAAGTAATACAAATTGAACTGTAACAAATAGGAGAATTATTTTCTTGTCTTGCCTTGGGGAGTCACAGCACTTATTTAACTGCTTCTATGCTGCCAGTGATTCTTGTTTAACTCTGCCATGAGCCCTTATAGCATCAGTAGCGTGTTATCTATTGAAGAATCAAAGCACAGTAAAGCCCATAGTACAATAGCTGACAAAAATCTGTGCACTAAAGTTTTCTTTCTCTGCTCAGGCCCACCTTACTAAACTTAATTTTATACTACCCATTTTATATTTAAAACATGTCTAAAATGGTATATTGAAGAAGTGAGAGGAATTTACTGGAGAAGTCCGTAAAAATAGATTGCAGCTGGGAGCCAGTGTGCTGTTACAGTAAGCTGCTCAGTAGTGAACTGGATCTGGCAAGAGTATTAAAACTGAAGTAAATTAAGCTGCTGCATATAGGTACCTATATGAATTGCTCTCACTTTTCAGCTGGAAGAGAAGTGTATAATTGCTGTTCACTTAAGGAACTGGGTGATGATTTGGGTTTTAAATTAATACTGCTTGGCACTTTTGAGATTAACCTCCTTTAATGCTTAAAAGCTAGTTCATGAGTAAAAGCTAGCTAAAGAAATAAACACAATAGACACTGCACAGAGAGTAATTTCTAAGACAAACCAGTAAGACTTGTAGATTATTGGGCTGGTTTTACCTCAGCTGAAAACAAGATCCAAAGATGCTGATAAGATCAGCTCTACAGAGACTGGGGAGGAAGAGGGGATGGTACTGAATCTCGGCTGCTCCAGCTGATGAAGACTGAGAGCCAAGGGCTACAGCAAGCAAGCTGCATGCATCTGAGTCACTAAGAGGGCATGTGCCCCAAGAGTACTGTGGTTTTGCTTTGAAGTGGTAGCACATGCTGCTGCTGAAATAGGCTTTCACACCTTCCCTTAGTTAGGATACTCCTGTTTCTCCTCTGGGGCTTGCGTGGCCATGTTCAGAGCTGCCTGTGAACTGATCTCACTGAAAAAGTTTTTTCTGTAAGCTAGGTTAGTTTTCAGCCTGATCAGTTCCTTCATGCAAGTTACACTGCAGCACAACTACTTGTGTAGCTGTGATAGAAATGTGTGGCTTAAGGTGAGAGGGACCATGTTTTTCACAGCACCTAGGATGCAGTTCCCCCTCAAAATAACTGCAAATACTGCTGGTTTTGATGAGAGAGACTATTGGGTTCTACCCATTCAAATTAACTTAAATTGTTTATGAAGCTGTTCTTTAGTTATTAAATACAGTTAGTCTATGGGCTTTTAAAGGAGAACTTCAGAAGGTGCCAAGTTTACTGGGTTTGTTGATCGCAATGTAAGGGGTGCAACTTGAAAGACTCAACTGCGTTGCAAGTTCCCAATATACAATCTCATATAAGCTTGGTGCCTGGGATTCTGGCAAGAACAGCTTGTAGTATCTGACCTCTGAAGGCATTTCAGACACTTTGCCTTTGTATGCAGATACAAGAAACCCATACCCCTTACAAAGGAAGATTATCTTATTCTTGGACTCTTTAGATATATATATTCTTGGTGCTCTGAGTCTGAGAAGAAAATTATCAGTGTATGTCCTCAAGACCCCTATTTCCTTCTCCCTTTATCATGGTAAAATTTAGAACAGATGTGACCCCTGGGCAATAGTAAAAAAAAAAAATCAGATTTTAATCACTTTCTCAAGAATAATTATAGGATTGATGTCTGTGCTTCATAAATATTGGCCTGAACTGCACTGGTATGGCCCTGTATTCTGAAAAGTCTACATCCACAGCAAGTACACACTGACCATTAAACCTCGGCTGTTTCATCTTACAGAAGAAGTCACAGATGATATTCTGAAGAAATGTGATGTATTTTGAAGAACATGGGTCATGTTGGGGGGGGATTTCTTTATTGCATTAAACTATATCTTTAACACTACTGTGTTTGGCTGGTCAGTGTGTTTTGAATTGAGGTCTTGATTAGATACTACAGTTCTAATTCTGTTAAGGTAGCGAGTGCTCTTCAAGAGGAGGAAGAATTGATGTTGACTACTATTAGAATCTGAGGCAGCTGTTGTTTTCACCCTATTGTTTAGAAAGGGAGAGAATAATATGACTGGCTGTTGCATCACTTGTTACATGGTATACATCTTTTAATGTTACTACAGACATTTGTATGTGAATCTAGTTTTAAGTAGCCACCCACAGTTAACTATCTTTAGACTCTTTCTGATGTTCATTGTTTCCAGAGCAAGGGCATGAAGCAAGTACATGCCTCTTGCCAAATGTTACAGCCTGGCTCTTACGTGTATTTAGGCATTGAAAGGGGCTGACAACTACTGCTTTCCTGAATATTTTTTTACCCCTTTTTTTTAAAAGTATTTCTTTTTTCATGAGTATACCACATCTATGTAAAAAAAAAAAAATCATGGTTTCTTTCCCCATAATTTCTATTTATAAATATTTAGATTTCAGGAGAATTCTAGAAATGTAAATTACTTATGCACGCCTTAAAACTGCATCTATCCCTGATTTCTTACATACTTATGAACTATTATTAGAGTATGTAGAACTATGCCAAATTTTTCTGTATACCTATTCAATTGACTATATCTTGCTGCAGCATAAAGCATAATCTTAGGGTGTTTCCCAAATATTTTTTTTCTTCCTATCCCCTGAGGAACAGTCATTTTCAAGCTTATAAGCTGATTGTTTTGCCACATCTGTGTAGCTGACTGAGGGCAATTGCATTGCCAGCTACTCAGGATTTATCACTAAATGAGATCAGAACCTGAGTCCTCAACCATTCCCCAAGGCCTTGGCTTCCCAGTTCTGTGACTGCTTAAAGTGGAGACCTCAGATTAGTTGCATTTTAGAGAACAGTTCAACAGGCCAACCCTCTGCTAAAAGCTTTTTCTGATAACTATTGCAGATGTTACTTTCCCTAACAAAAATGTGACCAAGTTGAGATTAGTAAGCATTGTGTAGCCTAGCAGCTAACACATCTGACATGCCTGTTGTACGCAGGTGTGTTTCCTTCGTGTGCAAATACAGTTCTTGCCAGAGCTTGCTCCAAAGTCTGGCTCTGTCTAATGTTTTCCTTACCTGGCACTCCCAAATTCCTTATTCTCTCTCCTTCAGGGGCATGCTAATCCTTTCATATCCTGGTCTGAGATAGTAACACTCCTCCGGTCTTGTTTTTTGGATGAGGTAGCATGCCAACTGTATAGCTCCATGTGAAAGTAGAGCCTGGCACGTTGTCTGCAAAAAGACAGTCTAGACCCTGTCTGTCAAATTCAAGCTAGCCTCAATTTATAATGTAATTTCAGCATTGCACAGGGAAGAAAAGATATCTGTCCTGTATAAGAGAGTAGTATGTGACCTACAGTAAAAGAGTACGTTTACATTTTAATTAATAGGAAACCAACTTTAGGCAGACCACTTAATCATTCCTATCCAAGGAATCTTTCAGAGTCTCACTGTATAGGTAGGACTAAGTACAGCTTAGTTGTTTCCTCTGTAAGGTCGCAGCTCTTGCTTGCACACAGCCTTTAATCTCTCATTCTAAAGGTTTTCCCCTTGTATTTCCAAGGAAGCAGTAGAGCAAGTACTGGAAAAGAAGCCCTGTTACTTTCTGTGAAAACTTTTCTGAGATCTCAGCATCTCATAAATGTTTTGAATGCAACTTTTAAGTTCCTGCCCTGCACTCCCCCAGTGAAATACAGAGCACCCAGCTAAGTAGTACAATAAGAAAAGTAGGATTTAAGAAGGAGACTTAAGACTGCTGTCATGTTCAGCATACAGCTGCCTATAGCAAATAAAGGGGAGGTAAGCAAAGCCTTAAGACTGCCTTTTGCATATTGTGCTCAAGGCTGCAGTCAGATGCTTCTGTTTGCTTGCAGTCCCCATTCTTCAGTTCTCTGCTGCTGTCATCTTGAAGATGTGAGGTTGCTGGTTCAGCTCTTTCACCTGACTGAGGAGTGCTAAGCAGGATGTCCCAAGTTCCTAGAGAGTGCCACAGCTGGGAGACTGCCAGATAATAGATGTGGGAGCTACTACTCCCATTCTTGCTGAAGCAGTGCAAGAAAATAAAAAATCAGGATGAATTGGTTGAAAGACAATGTGCAAAAGCCTGCAGAACTCTAACCTAGTGATTAAGGTGCTTGTTCAGATGGAACATTTCTTTGGCAGTTCCTGTAGTTGTTGTGAAAAAATAATTGGAGTAAGTAAACAGAATGTTTTTTGCAGTTAGAAGACAAACATACAAACCAAACCTATCTGTAGAGCAATAAGAAATTACACTGGAAAAACTGCCTGTTTCACAAGCAGTTACATATACCGGTTGATGTAACAGAGCTGTAGGAAATAGCTGTTTACACAGTTGAAAAATGTACCATAATATACATATTTGCACAAAAAAGTGTATTAATTCTGGTATTTCCTAACTTTTCAGTACCAATTGAAACCTTAATATTTACTAATTTTTGTGGATCTATGACATACAAGGAATAAAAGTAAATATTTTATGAATTTGCAGCTATGCCTATTCTGAAACTGCAGGTAAGCGACATTGCTAACTTACACTAACAGGTTAGAGGGCAGCATATGATGGTATATGGTATTGGTTATGCTACTGTGGGCTATTGTGGCTAATCATTGCATAAATGTCTAGCAAAATATGGTGGCTGCTTGAGAGCTTACAATTTTAGCAAGGAGGTGACATAAAAGCAATAAGAAATCTTATTTCTTTGCTGTCTTGTGTCTGTCTCGTTTGATTTAGATTGTAAGCACTTTGGGCTGGAACCCTCTTTTGTTCTGTACAGTGTTTAGCCTACGGTGTGTGACCAGGATCTTAGTTGCTTTTATATTGTAAATTGCAGTCTTGCAACTGTGAAATAATAAACAGTCACGGTATAGCAGCTGTCTCCACCCTTCTGAGAGTTTTTATAGGTGTTACAGCAGAGGTTAGTTTTTGGGATAGACTTAGGAACTAATAAAGCTATGTTTTTATAGGAAGGGGGAGAGTTCTGTGTATTCAAGCATCACAGGAGAAAGAGATGGTTGAATTATTTTGGTAAATAGGTAAACACTGGATAAGCATCCCATGAAACCTGTTTAAGTGGTGTAATTAAAGACAATGTATGTGTACGTTCAGGAATTTCTGTAGCTAAGCAGGTGAGATGTTTAATTACTGTGTGTGTGTGTTTGTCTGTATGATGACTTCCTACTGAAAACAAGAACGATAGCGTGTTTTCTGAATTTTGCTATCATAACTTGTGCTTTTGTCATGTCACACTTCCGCTACCATCTATTCTTTTTGTAGGGTGAAAGAGGATTCCCAGGCTTGGAAGGACAGCCAGGTTTGCCTGGATTTCCGGGACCTGAAGGACCACCTGGTCCAAGAGGCTCAAAGGTAAGTCCCAATTCACTTGAATAGCTAGAAAATGCTAGGCAGTGTTGGCTTGCTTGTAGTGCTGATCCTAAATCATTCAGAACTCGATTGTCATTGGTTTAATAGTCAAAATCTTCAGATATTGGGATATTACATAGGTTTTTTTGTTCGTTTGGTTTGAATAGTCAACTAGAGCAAAAGATTGCTCTATGTTTCCTATTTTTCACCTATGCATGTGCTTGCAAACACTACCTGCGTGCTTGTATCCTTTCACTAGGTACTGTAGATTAAGGTCAAAGAACAGGTTTGGTGAGGCACTGTGATGTAGTTTTATTAGTCCTTGCACTAATGCACTCCATCGCTTAGCACACTGATGAGAGTGGTGTTGGACTGTCAGCTGCCCAGAGGGGTCCCTCCGCATCAGTAAACTGTTGTTTGCACATGGTGGCATTCCTAGGCCAGTTTTGCGTGGGGCAATGCAAATGAAGGCCTCATTGAACCTATGCAGAGACAACTGAGGAATGCTCCTTGCTTTCCATGGAGGGTTTCAGTTTATTTTTACTTGCTCCTGAATTATGTCATTACGCTCAGGTGGTATAATACAGTATTAAAATGTCGAAAAGCCTTCCTCTGAATGTATTGGTATCTAATATACACAAGATTATCCAGGATCTGCCATCTCTTTTGCAAACGCTTACAGTATAAACTACAAGAAGCACATCAAAAAGAAGCAAAGGAAAAAATAGTTAGGTGATAAGAAAAAAAAGTCTACACTAAAAGAAAAGATTAATGGATATAACAAGAATGAAACAACAGAGGAATCTTGGACTAGAAACTTTGATTATATTTTTATTCCATAAATGTCTTTTCTTCTCAAGATTTTGATATAAAGTTCTGCATTATCATAATACAAAGTAATAATGGTACAGTATCATTCACATTTAATCTTGTATATCTTGTTTTGCCCACAAGAGGTCACTGTAGAATATTTGATGAAAGCACGACTGGTATCTGCTTGTATGCAATATTAAATAGCTTTGGTTTTTTACAGATATTTCCTCTAAGTCATGGTTTATCAGCTGTAACAAATACTTTTCAATTCAAATTCCAACACCCAAAATAAAATATTTTTGAACGCTTTACTCAGGAAATTACAACTAATATAACTTTAGTCCACTTACTATAAACATGTAGAAGAAATTTCATCATTCTTACAGTTTTAATTTGATAGAAAGGCAGACTGCAAACTTGAATGTGTTTTTTTTTTGTTTATTTGTTTGTTGGGTTTTTTTAGGGCGATGATGGACTTCCAGGGCCTGTTGGACCCAAAGGAATCAGAGTAAGTAATGATGCAGTTTTAGGTTGATATATTGGAATTATGGATAAAGACTGCCAGGCATTGAGTGGGTCCTCACACAAGCAGTGATTTAGGGGGGGAAAAATTAACTTAAATCTGAATAGTAATTTATCTATTAGCTAGAAGAGATTGTAATACTTTTTATAAGTAATATAATATTGCATAAGTAATACAGTCTTAGGTATTGCTTGTGTTATTTTCATAAACTCATGAGGGAGAGTAGCCCCAATACTTATGTGATCTGTTTTGCTATAGAGGACTTAAACACTCTCTAGTAACTTTTCTTCAATTTATTCTGAAGTAGACACAGTATATGTAAAGTCGATATGGGAGAGGTTGATATGTCTGGAAATCCTTTAGGTTTTGTGCCTTTGCTTTTTCTTTTTATCAGACCTCTCAGCTGGTGACAATTGCTGCATCTCTGACTTCAGTGGGACCCATCCATTTTCCATACCATGAGTGTTCATTTATTTTCTCTGTGTATCTACATACTATTACTTTAGTTGTTCTGCATTGCCTTCTTATGTTTTTGTGGATATTTCCCTGAAAGAAGGGTAAGAACCTTGATGGCTGTCCAGCATGGCATTCTTTCTTTACAGGTGATTCAGATGTTTCTGTTTTTCTTTACTTACATATGCACAAATAGGTTACATTTAGTAAAATCTTGGTAAATCCTTTTGCACATCCATTCATACTATACTGTTTAAAACATACGTGGTTAATTTCCTTCTAGGGACCGCCAGGGCTTCCAGGATTTCCAGGAACACCAGGACTTCCTGTGAGTAGGAAAGGGCTGTTTACATATGAATCTGTTCCCTTTCATTTTTCAGGCTCAGAAGAGCATCCTACAAGTTAACTCTCCTTTCCTCTTTTCTACTTTAAAGGGATTACCAGGACAAGATGGGCCACCAGGACCTCAGGGTATCCCAGGATGCAATGGAACAAAGGTGGAATCCCTTTAAAATTCTTAATAATGTAACAATAATATGATAAAGAGCTTCTTGTTCTCCTGGCTGTAGCCAATAAGTTTGGTTTATTATGTGCAGTAGTACTTGCTGTTGATGAGTTGTGCAGGTAATTCCAAGATAATTCAGACTTACACACACCTCTGAGAGAAGGGGTCATGGTCTGGTACTTAAAGCACAAGTTTTGACAGAAATTGCCAGTGCCAAGACACAGCATTTATACTCTGCAGCCAATGTAGTTACATTCTTTGTTCTAATCCTTAATTTTATAGCTAACAACCGAGAGGAGTGTCTGATAATTAGATCATATATGGCATCTCATCTTTGTAGCAGACTCTTGTTACCAAGGAAAACTCACTAACTAGCAGTGGGGCTTCTTAATTATTAATTTCTAATAATATTGCATTGAAAATACTGATTCATTATCCTTGTTAGGAGGAGTCACTTTCATTTTAACATGTTACCTAGCTTCAGGTTATGATCTTTCCATAAGAGAAGTTCATCTTCTATAGCAGTATGTGTGTTTTTGATCTCTGTAATATAGTACTTTGCCTGGAAGTATGTGGAAATACCTGATTGTGGAAAGTTCTGTTTCAATCACTTGTGTGATTTAAAAAACTGTTTATCCTATAGATTGTTGGAATACAATTTGCTACTCTGGAGTCCTAAGCTAACAATGAAACTAGACTTTTCAGTCAAAATTTGTTTATCTGGTTTTATTATGCTTTGGTTTGGTTTTGGCTAATCATTTTCTTTGTCCCTAAGGGAGAACGTGGATTCCCAGGCAGTCCAGGTTTTCCTGGTTTACAAGGGCCTCCTGTAAGTAAAAGATTTCCATATCAGCTACCTGTAATCCATTGAAAGACTTCTACTTAGATCTGTGAAAGATCAGAGAAATATCAGCCTCTTTTTGCAGTTTGTCTTTTTGTAAATAAGAATATGTTAATTTTTTATGGTTAATCAGAATATTCTAGAAGTCTGATAAAAGAGTGAGCTTGTCTGCTGCATGCTGTGGTAAAGCTAACAAAAAGCCCTTTGAATTCTCACATGCTAAGATACTTTGCCAAACCTGCAGAAAAATACAAATGCATGCATGTGTCAGAGATGCAAGATCTTGATGCTGTCATCTGGTACATCTAAAGAGTCTTACTGGTGATTAATGGAGCAGAAAAAAAGAGACAGTGTAGGGTGTTTTCATTATAAAACACAAGGATGTGCAGCAAAGTGACTGTCAGAACTAAAGAACAAACAGAAATAAATGTAGTAGACAGGATGGATAATAGGAGGCAATAAAGAACAAATTGCTAGGAAATGGAAATGTAATCTGTTTAATGCTCAACATTCACAGTGAAAGTACTTCTCTAATTTTTCCAATTGATTCTGAAGATCATAAAATTGTTATTTTCTTCTGTTTCATATCTTTTTTTAGATTTCTATCTTTAATGCCTGCCTCATGGTGTAGATCTGATTAGTGCTTTACAAATAACATACCAACGATTTATTTCTATTGACCTTCCTTTTATGTTTTGTTTCTTTTAAACAAAGGGACCCCCTGGTCTGCCAGGTATGAAGGTAAGTATTCTGTATTCGCACACTGAAGTACTAACCAGGCATGGGTGTCCACTGTGATCTGGCATAAGTAACATGCTTGCTTTTATACAAGACCATGTGCATCCCTTGGCATTTGGAGTGACGTTTTACAGAAAGCTTAGTGTTTCTAGGCCACTCCAGTGCAACTAACTGGAAATCGTGCATTAGCTTTACTCAATTTGGGTCAGTTGTTCTAGAAGCATCAAACTTTTTTTTTTCTGAAGCTGGTTTCCTTCGGAGCATGAGGGAGAGTGTCTGTTTGTGAGGCATCAAGCTAGCAAAATGCCTGCGAACACCCAAATGCACCAGTAGTCTACCTGTGCATGCTCAAGAATGCTACTAGAGAATAAGCAGTAATATCTTAAAATATCCAGTGAAGAGAGTACTGCAACATCTTATGTTCCTTTTAGAAATGTGCTCTCTACTATATGGATTACTACGTACATGGCTTTTTCTCCTAATGTAAATAGTCTCATCATCTGATTTTGGACCTTAAGGACACCTTCTATTTTTTAAGGGTTTTTTTTGTTGTATCCATCTATTTGAGCATGGGCCAAAGCATCAGTTTTGTTTCAAATCTATTTGAAAGGAAACTTGACCCACAGAATTATTCCAATAAACTCCTGAGAGGACAGCATAACACTGGTGCTAGGAAATTGTGACTATTAAGCTGAATAATTTTTCTCAACTCCTTTTCTTCCCAATTGTTTTAAAGATATTAGAAGGCAAGCTGATCAGAAACACATACTTTTAAAACAAAGATCTTCCCTGAAATCAATACAAAACTGTGCTTCAATATAGAACATGAAGCATGACTCTTATAACAGCATACTCAGCATTAATCTCACGAGGTGGGACATTGGGAAAAGCTGAATGAGCCTTTTTTTCTGTTGTGTCCTATTCATTGCTTTCATGAGGCACTAGAATGTCTTTCTTCTGTGAAGCATTTGTATTTCAATCCCCTAATCTTTCAGAATTTTAATCAATACTGATATATTTGTAAATATAAAAAGAGAGCTTTTAGTAGTTGGTAGTTTAGCCATTTAAAGAATCCTCCAAATATGCAAGGATCTCTCCTAAAAAGAGCTATTCTTGGAGAATCTAATACTTATAATAAAGAGTACTGCTAGGGTGTAGCATAACTCTTGAGTCTCTCAGAGTCTTAAGAGGCACTGTGTGTCTTTTGGAGTCAAAATAGTAACAAAGAATTGTAAAATGTTCTATTAATTAAAGGCAGCTCTTTTTCTTCCAGGGTGAAGCAGGTGAAATAATTACATCCTTGCTGCCAGGACAGAAGGGTGACCCAGGATTTCCAGGTCTTCCAGGGATACCTGTAAGTTGTGTAAAGTACTATTAGGCTGTGTTCTGCCAAAAAGATAACATGAAAAGTATTTGCATTACAGTACAATTGCAACATATTGCTAGGGGTGCTAGGGGATCCGTATGTTTATGTGGAGAAGCAGAGCTCATATTTAATGTACCTCTATTTTATGGCTTGAGAGAAAGTAAGTGCTTCCATACTGTTCTTAATAGGGTGACCCACAGAGGCCAGAAAGGTCCCCTGGTCAGGAAAGTTGCACCCAGCAGACAGCAGTACTCAGTTTCTTCCTTGCTTCTCTGTTTCCCCTGCCTGTTCCCCCTTCCTAGACATTCTCTGTATCAGTTCTGGCATTCCCTTCCCTTCTTTACTCTGAGGTAAAGCAAGTAACATCTGCAGCTCTGGGCTGTAGCCACTATTTTGGATGGTGGGAAGAGAGGGTAATGTCTCAGCTGTTCTCATGTTGTACCTCCTGAACAGTGTTCTGTTCTCCCAGCAGTCTTCTGTGAAAACAGTTAGTGACTCCAGGCCCTGTGCTTCCCCACTGAGCCATTCATTGCTTTAGTGGAAGAACAAGGGGAGCAGAAAATGAGTCTATCGGACTGGACAGAAGCCAGAGACTCCCATTTCCTGGTACAGAGAGGCAAGCCCCAGGCTATTCTGACCAGACTAAGCCTGTTAGCATTTCTGTTCCTCTGATCTGTGCTTCCCTATTGTCTGGGAAGGGAGGAAACACAAAGACAAAGTGTTTTCTTGTTCTCTCTCAGTGCATGAAGAGAAAGAAAGCACAGAAGTAGTTCAAAACAAACAAAAAAGCATTCCCTTGTCCCAGCCAAAGAGATGTGTTGATGTTGAGAGCAGAACACTCCTAACATGATGTACGCTCCTATAGGCCTTTCCACAAGGACAGATAGGTAGGTTAGTGGTCAGCTACTTTGATTTGATGTGTATGGGGTGCCAGCTGTTGGTTTTTTTTTTTTTATTAAAAGATCCCCCTCTCATAGCCTCCTCCACTTTCTCAACAGGGCCCACCTGGCTCCATGGGAATACCAGGCCCAGTTGGCCCTCCAGGGCCCCCAGGCTTGACAGTAAGTTCCTTTAACCTGTTACCTATGAAGTGTTAAATGGGGCAGTTACTTTGTTTCATGTACTCAGAGGCAGGTCAGTGAAGTGCAGAGATCTTGGTAGTCAAGACTTGGTATAAGGACAACAGCAACCATGCATTCAATTCACCCTGGAGCTGCCACCGTGCACGTTTAAATGTGATACATTTGAGACACTCAGTCTGTTCCCAGACCTCTTTTTGCTTTAGATCAGGATGAATCTTTGTCCAGGTGCCTTATTTGTGTGAAACCTGAGGGACAAGATTTACCTTATTTAGACCAGGATGATTCTTTCCTTACTGTTTAACACCTGACTGTTTCATTTTATTTGACTCTCTCACTTAAAGGAAGAGCTAGTTTCGTATGTATTTGTGAAGTTGAATAGCATGAGGAAGAGCTCCCAGAGAAAGGCAAGGTGCCTTGTCAGCATGGATGTAATGCACAGGAGTCAATGTAGCAACATTGTTCTTTCCCTCCCCTCCAAGGGGGAATGTAAAGTGCTTGGAAATCACTCTTTTTTTGTTGTTGTTTGTTTCCTTTTTTAATAGGGACCTCCTGGTCCACCAGGGCTGCCAGGACCTAAGGTATTTTCTTTCCCTCATTGATGGTGGTGGTGGACTGTTTTGTTTTTCTTTTTGTTCATTTGTGACTTCTAAGGGCTGATGAGTTATACTTTTTGCAGGGTAATATGGGTTTGAACTTCCAAGGACCCAAAGGTGAAAAAGTGAGTAGGTGATCATGATGATATTTTTGCTTATTAATTTCAAAAAAGTTATGCATGCCATTTTGGCTTGTATTGCTTGTAACAAACCGCCATCTTCTTGCACGTTAGGGCGAACAAGGTCTTCAGGGACCTCCAGGGCCACCAGGACAAATTGGAGAACAGAAGAGACCAAATGACATTGAGTTTCAGAAAGGAGATCAGGTGAGTGGGAAACTATATCCACCTGCAATGAGCACGTGATCAAGATGCAGCTTCCATTGGTTTGGTTCATATATACTCATATCCTGCTTACTGCAGAGGTTTTATTATTTTTCTCAAAGTACTGACTATTTTAGGCCTGAGTACTTTTCCTTTAATAGAAGGCAGGCCAGTCACATTAGCTCAGTTACTTCCCTTAGTAAAATAACCATTCTTAAGAAACTCTCTTAAAGGAAGTTTATGGTAACAGTAAAAGCAGTTAAAATATTCTCATTCTTTGGAACACCCAGACTGGGATTTTCAAAGCTGTCAGATTCCCATTAATTAACCAGTTATGTCATCCATTGTGAAGAAGTCTTTCAAAAATTTTAACTCAATTTATTTCTCCTTCTCCTTTTCTTTCTATTTCTCCTTCTCCTTTTCTTTCTATTTCTCCTTCTCCTTTTCTTTCTATTTCTCCTTCTCCTTTTCTTTCTATTTCTCCTTCTCCTTTTCTTTCTATTTCTCCTTCTCCTTTTCTTTCTATTTCTCCTTCTCCTTTTCTTTTTTTTTTTTGTCCTTTGTTTGTCATTAGTGATGCCCCAAGGTCTTTCTTCCTTGTGGCCTGAATAAAATGCTTTCCCTGTTTCTGGCCTCTCAAAAGTAAATATCAAGCCCAAACAGTTTGTTTGATATGTATGGATCCTTCCCTACCCATAAATTCCAAAAAGCCATTGGAAGAGTTACCATTTTTAAAGTTATTACATTTTTTCCTTTCTTTTCACTGAGGAACATTTCACAGTACCATTTGATCCTGGGTGCCAGTCACAGACAATGTGAGCAGCACCAGCAGGATCATGGGTACCTAGATTTCATGTTTTCTTTGAAGTTTCTGTGGTATTCCCAAATACTACCCTGAGTAATAGAAGAGTTGAAGTAGATATTTTGAGGCAAGAGTGGTGAGTGATCGTTTTTATGCTCTGGTTATTTTGCAAATGTCACTGTGGTAACTAAGCTTTAAACTTTAAACTGTTAGTTTCCTTCGCCTCTATTTGGATCAGTTCCTCGCTTTCCACCTTTTTATCTTGAGAAATGTGTCAGAGAAGAAAGCTTTGGTATACAGCAGTATTTTATTTTGGCAGGGCGTAGGACAATTCTACCCTTCCTCTTGATCAAAAACATTTGTTACCCTTCCTTTCAGAAGAACATTAGGCACCACTAAGGCATTCCCTGGAGCTATCCACTGATGTATATTTGCAATGCGCAGTCAGTCTAGAAAGGTCTCAGTCCCTGGGTTTGTCTCTGTTTTACTGGATGGTAGGACAGAAGGTAAAGAGCAGCATTGTGAGTCTTCATAGTTCTAAGAAAACACAAGGGGACGTTTCGACCACACTGTAGTTGAAACAAAAATTCATCTGACTTTATTGGGGTCAGAGTAATTTGCCTCTGTCATCAGGGATCTCTCAAGGACTAATTGTACTGGCATTGTTATACAAATGTACAAAATAAAAGCATTCTAACTGCATTCCTTTTAAAGCACTAAGACTTACAAACAGTCTGAGTGCATTACCTTTGACCAACGTTAACAATGATTTCAAAGTTTAAAAATTCATTTTGATTTCAAGAAAGTTATGCTTGGTAGTACGCAATCAGTAAAAAATTTCATCATTACACTTATTTTTTTGTGAAGTACACACAAAATTCTGGTGTGTACATCCACCTATGATCTCTGTGATGTCTGACTGAAAAATCAAGTGTATAGATGGGCTTGTAAAAGTCTGGGAGGCCTCCAAGAAAATAACAGAAACTCTACACAGAACCCTTTTGTGGATTCAGTGGCCTGTAACTTTTCTTTAGGTTAAGGGTGAAGAGATTTAAGAACTTGTACAAAGATTTAACGAGACAAAATAGAAGATCTAACTTTTTAACGCAGTGAACCTGCCCCTGTGATGAGTAGTGTGGTAGTGTCGACTTTTTATTCCTTCTTTCTTTCCTTTTTTTCTTTGTTCTTTTTATTATTGTATAGCAGCTGCAGGCCACCAAACCAGCTGCGGCAGTGCTGGCAGGGGGCAGTTGTCTTAGTGGAGTGAATCATCTAAATACACAGGATGAGCAGTTAATAAAATTTATAGACGCACTTGAAGTTCCACACAAAGAAAGAATAAATATGATCCTTTACTGTTCATAATACTTGGAAATCTGAATGACAGCAAAAAATTATTTTATTTTAAAAAAAAAAAAAAAATCAGCTGAGCTACTAAGGGAGTGATGGAGACTTTAATCCTCTTTTTCTTTGCCCATGCTTGACAGGGTATTCCAGGTGATCCAGGCCCGCCAGGACTTCCTGGGCCACAAGGCCCTCCTGTGAGTAGTCCTCTTTTAGTTCTTTTTTTGTTGCATATGTATCAGAACTGTAAATTCTTCTGCTCTGGCTTGTGGGCTCAGTTTAAAGATGACATTTGTGTATCCAGGGTCTTCCCGGTGGCATAAAAGGTGAAAAAGGTGAGCAAGGAGAACCAGGCAAAAGAGTAAGTAGTCTGTTTAACCAAACATTTATCTTTCCAATCAGTGTTATCTTTGAAAATTAAGCAAATGTTGAATTCAAGTGGGGCCATCAGCCTCTGGGTAAGAGATTTCTTGTTTTTTTTCAATAACCTGGCAAACTAGTGGATGATGCATCTGGTTCACAAAAGTGCTTCTAGCTATAGAACTCTTAGTGCTTTCTGATAGAATTATCTACATGTAAATCTTAGTCTTGGGGGCAGGAGAAACTAATTTGAATGATGTTATCTGGTTACATGTGGAAACCTTCTTCAAAATTGTTGGACTGCTTGACTGAAACAGCAGTTTTCTGTTTCCTTTTAGAGAGGGACTTCATTCAGTTTGCTATGTACTGGGTTGCCAAGCAGCATGAGATTAGTATATATTTAAGCTGGTCTATGTAAACTCATTCTCACAGGGTTTACTTGTGTGGTGAGTCAAAAAGCCAAGCCTCTGAACACTGCATTAAGACCAAAAGTCCATTTGTCACTTCCCAAGAGACTACTTCAGTTTACGTGCTATCTGGGGAGGGGACGAGTCCGGACAGCTGCATTCTGGGGATACCATGAGTCACTCTGTCTAGACTCAAATCCATCCCGGGATCTAAATTTACTTGGATGTCACAGCTTGGAAAAGCGGAGGAAGGTCACAGAAGTGCTAAGAAATCAGATGAAAATAACATGGGCTGGACCCGCAAAGAAAAGCAAGCTGCTACCAGCTCAAAGCATTCTGTATCTTCACTTCCACAGCTACTGAACCCATAGTTTGATCAACATAATGGACCCCTTTGAAAACCAAGACACAAGTCTTGCTCAGGTTAATCGGACAATATATAAACACCGTTTAGAAACATGTTGGTACTAGGTTTTCCGATTTCCATAGGAAATAAATAAAATGGAAACAAATGATTGGTATTCTAGATAAAATCCTTCTTAGTTGCTGAGATTTGTAGGAGGGCTTTGATTTGCCTTCCTCAAGGAACAAAACAAGGCAGATTTACAAAGCCAAAATTCTAATTATATTTTGAGTGGGTTTTGAATTGTAGTTTCCAAGTTGCTTCTCTCTGCAAAAGTAAGTGGGAACCACATAAATTTGCAAAGATCTGAAAGTATAAAAGTCTTGAGGGGCTATGGCAGAGCCTTTTGGCAAAAGCTTGTTTACCAACATTTTTGTTTGTTTTTATTACTCTGAATTTGGGCGTGTTGCTTACTTTAAAGTGCAGTTTTGCTATTAAGTTACTCTAAAGCTGCCTTTTAGGGCTCCATATGATTCTGTGTGGCTCAAACTCATTTCAGATACACTCATAAAGAGGTCACTATATGTAAGCAAGCAATTTCTGCAAATTCAGAGGAAATGTTAAAACCTCATTTTTGAGAATCAAAACTCATCACTAATAATAAATAATTCACAAATCACATTATACTCTAATACACTTGATCTGTCAGGTCTTATTATCAACTTCTCGGTGATTGGGAGTGGATCTTGGCACTGTGGTGAAACCTATTCTAGTTATGTTCCAGCAGGTGTCCCCCATACGTACTGGAATGCTAACAAGAAAATTCTGTTTGTCTTGCCCAGTGAATGGTCTGGAGTAAAGTGGAGCTTGCACTACTTTTATTGTAGCAATGAGAAATCTGCTCAGCAAGAATATATGGGTTTTAGAAGTCACTTCTTTGAGCAGAATTGCACTTTATATTTGTGTTGACACTATTCTTCAGAAAATTGCATTTAGTTTAAAGGACAGTTAAAATTCAAAACCAAAAATGTTTGTATTTAATTTCATTGGTCACATTATACTAATTTCCTAGTTAAATATCATATCCTACTGTTTAGAGAGTTAGAATCTGTTATCCAAAGAAAGGATTTCTCTAATGTTAGAATAAAGTGAGTTATTAAACACAATGAATCAGTAATAGTTAACTGGAGATAATTTTGTGCTGTATTCACACAATATTTCTTTGAGACTTGTCACGGTTTTGTGCTCCAGTTTTCAAAATTAAAACCTCAGTTTAGATAATTCCATTGATAATACTCAGTTGATTTCTTTGAGGTATTTTCCTCAAGGATTGCATTCTAGGGAAAGTTTGGTTTATTGAAAAATGGGAAAGAAGTAACGCTATTTCCATAAGAATTCTTCACCACTGAAGCATTTTATTTCAATGATTGTTTATATCTTTGAAGGGAAAGCCTGGCAAAGATGGAGAACCTGGTCAGCCTGGTAGGGATGTGAGTACCTCATACATTTCTAATCTAAGCAGACTCCTTGTAAGCTTTTCTTCTGATATGGCGATGATCTGAGTGTGATTATCCTTCTCTTTTTTTGAAGGGTTTACCTGGTGGGCCTGGAATAAATGGTGCTCCAGGAAGAGAGGGTGAAAAGGTATGCCACGTTTTTTGTCATTATTGCTGTAGTAGCTTGAAAAAAATCTGCCATTACTGAGTTCAGTTCTGGCTGAGTAGTAATTGCATTGACTATGCTGTTACAGTGTTGAGGAATATTTGCAATAACTTTCTTGTGTACTAATGTGCAGTATAAAAAAAATGCTCTTATTTTCATTGATAGGGTGAAAAAGGTGACATTGGTCCCCCCGGTCCTCCTGGAATTGTAAGTTGCTGATCCTTTCTTTTTTTTCCTGCATTTGGTTGACAGTGTTGTCTCATTATAGTTCTTGGGCGACTGTGAGTCCTGTCTCCGGGTACAACAATAATAGAAGCAGTAAATGTTTCACATATTCACTAATAGAAACGATTGCTTCCTTGCTATCTTGAAAGAGGTAGATTCTGTGCTCTAGGATTTGCTAGGTTACAAACAAAAGGCTAGACTATAACCTCAGACCAGCAGAAATTGAGTCAGCTTCAGTGAAGCCTGTTCTAACCATGTTGGCTTGGCAGCAAAAGTGCTTCCTATTGGGGAGTGCTCTTTACTGGAATTTTACCTGGTAGTTCAGTGGAGTGGGAAAAGCATTCCGTCATTGGTGTAAGGTTCAAAGTATGTTGAACTTTTCCTCCCTCACATCTCTTTACCATTCCAGTGACTCTTTTCTTGGCAAGTTGTTTCACGTGAACATGAAACATTTACAGGTCATTTCAAGACCAGGCATTGATGCGAAAGTGGGACCAAAAGGTAGCAAAGGATTGCCAGGACTTCCAGGAGCCAAAGGAGAGCGTGGATTCTCTGGCAGGCCAGGCCCACCTGGCTTGCCAGGTTCTCCAGGTAGGAGTGCAAGCATTGAAATAAGTTGTATGCTCAAATGTCTGTGTGGGTATTTAGCTTCACAGTCTTTTCACATAGATGGACTGAGCAGAAAGTGAAGGCAGAATTATTTAGAGCTACCTTTGAGCTTGAAGGGTGGCCCTTAGTTTATGGGATAATATGAGGAATTCTGAATGTTCATTGCCCCTGCTGTGGTGAACAGAGGATGCTAATAATCAAGGCTCTCAAACAGATACTAGCTTAAGGGTTTTAGGGGTAATTTATCTCATAACACTTACCTGTAACATACATTATCCAGAGATAGTGTTGTGTACCAGAAGTCTGGTACCTGGCCATCAAACCTAGTCTCTGCTGTACATTGGCCAGTACTAAAGGAGGAGATGATCTGAGTCTACAACAGGAGTGGGCAGTGACACCTGTATTTGCCTTATATTTAAGGCACAGAAGATATTATGATTCTAATGTTAGGGTTTGTAAATGTTCTTTTTTCCATCAATACTTCCTTTCATTAGTCCTGTTTCATTTTTTTTCCTTCATAAACTTAGTTGTTGAGTCTCAGGTCAAATTTTCAACCAAAAATCTCTGAAAATGCAAAATGTGCATATGTCAAACACTGCACATCAACATGTAGTTTGATTCCATAAAAGAAATATTATGGAGTACTTACATGGAAAGACACAGTCTTATCTGTAGCACATTATTTATTGTATATCATTGTCATCCTTGCAAAAAAGTTATTTAAATCTTTGAGCCATGAAGGAACTAAGTTCTTCCTATCTTAGGGATCACTACTGTTGGACCTCCTGGCCCACCTGGCTTACCTGGTGAGAGAGGACAGAAGGGAGATCCAGGTTTACCTGGTGTTTCTATTCCTGGGCAACCAGGACTTGATGGACCACGAGGACCTCCAGGACCACCAGGTCCCCCAGGACCACCTGCACCATCTGTTCCTCCTGGTAAGTGATGACCAGGTAAAGACACCGAAGTCCTGGAGCATGTCCAAAGAAGGGCAACAAAGCTGGTGAGGAGTCTGGAGCACAAGTCTGATGGGGGGAGCAGCTGAGGGAGCTGGGGTTGTCCAGGCTGGAGAAGAGGAGGCTAGGGGGAGACCTTATCACCCTCTACAACTGCCTGACAGGAGGCTGTAGCCAGGTGGGTGATGGTCTCTTCTCCCAAGTAACAAGCGGTAGGATGAGAGGAATGGCCTCAAGTTGTGCCGGGGAGGTTTAGATTGGATATTAGGAAAAATTTCTTCACTGGAAGGGTTATCAGGCACTGGAACGGGCTACCTAGGGAAGTGATTGAGTCCCCCATCCCTGGAGGTATTAAAAGACAGGTAAACAAGGTACTTAGGGACATGGTTTAGTAGTAGACAGGTATGGTTGGACTTGATAATCTTAAAGGTCTTTTCCAACCTAAACGATTCTATGACCTCATAGACAGCAAGCAGAAGAGACTGAACATCTTTGACGTTCATTTATTTTTTTGGTTTTTTTATTTTACCTCCAAAAAATGTAGTTTATCAGCAGCTGAAGCCTAAGATTCTAAGCTATTCATATACACATTGTCCAAGTTGCTTCCATTGCAAATCAGGACATCTGTAGGAGAACTCTAGCCTTAAGGACAATTACAGAATTCAGGAATTTGATGGTGTGAGTTGCAGTCTGGCTTTATCATGCCTCTTTCTACCTCAAATGACCCTTGCTGTGAGATTCAGCTAGACTGGAGGAGAAGAAATCTTGACAGACTTGAGGGACCTTTGTGCTCACTCACACAATAACGACAGTCCTCCAGGGCCAAGCACATTTGGCCCAGATGTACAAAATTAGGTATTTTTCCGATTAATGTTATGTCCTATTTAAGCCAACTAATGAAAGTTACATGAAAATTTGTGCATAAAGCAGGAGGTAGCCACTTCAACACTGTCTTGAGTAAATTTAGCTTTCAAGATACGATCTAACAAATCGGAGGGACTATTCCCTACTAAGAGTTGTGTTACCATGAGAGTCAAAGGAGTAATTTTTCACAGAATTCCAGTTTCATCTGATAAATATTCTAGTGTGTAGACCACAGAAAATCAGCTTGGGAGTGGACACTTTGGATGAAGGCTCTTAGCTCCTTTTTGGTATAAGGAAAGTAGGGAATAAGAGATGGAATATGAGAATTGGAAAGCTGTAGTGGAGAGGGGCTAACACAGTTCAGGGAGGAATTTAGTGTCTAGATGGTGTTGGCGTTTTAAGTCCCCTTGCTCTGCTGATATTTCACACACATGCTTTTACGATATGAGGCTGAATAGCAGACTGTAGTGTAGAGATGGAAGTGTGTAGGCTGTGGGAAGTAGTAAGGAGATAGCTGATGTGAAGGACAACTGATGATTGTTGTGTAATATCACTGATTGTTTCCTTTGGAGTTTGGATTACATTGGTGGGGTTTCATTGGCAGTCCTCTCTCTGAATTGCCAAAGCATTTGGTCTGCGGTTGTGTGGGTATATTAGAATATCCACACAAATACTAGGAAGTGCATTTTTGTACTGAATACATGTATTCCGTGCTGCTGTCTGTCTAACACAAATTGATCATTAAATTTCTCCCGATTCTCCTTAGGTGAAGGCTTATGTGAGCAGGGGCCACCAGGTCCTCCAGGAATTCCAGGACAACAAGGCTTTACGGGGGAGCGAGGCCAAAAAGGTGCAGTGTCATGGCTATCTTGTTTTTTCTCTCTTGTTAAAGCTTATTAAACAATGTAAAGCCTGCATTAAATAAGGATAAACAGTGTCTCTTCCCAGTAGGGTTAAGTGCAGATATTTTGTTACTGAGTAAGAAAGCTGTTTTGTTGGGTGTAGAGGAATCCTAGTGTTTAAGCACAGGAGTCTCAAAGTGACTGAGGGTACAACCTAGCATGGGTCACAACTAAAGTAAAATGGAACTTCAAGTTTATGAGTACCTCCCAGGCAGATAGAAACTAAGCGCTTTGTAACAGCAGTTGCCAACTCTATGTGAAAAAGTTTTATACTTCATGAATAAATTCAACATTTTTTGTGGAAAGCAACACTGAAATTATAAATGCAAGATTCCTAATTTGAGTTGGTCAATCTACAATGAGTTTGTTTGTTTGGGAAGCAAAAGAAAGACATCTTTAATATGTATCCTTGTTTCCAAAAAGACAACCTTGCAATGAGGATGCTGATATGGGTAAGTGAGAATCTTTTCCTAGCTCAACTGTGAACATCCTAGATGACTTCAGGCATCTCACTTAACTTTGTACTGCTTTCAAACAGAAGTCTTTTTCCTCATGGAGATTATAAGGATTAATTAATTAACATATATGAAGTGCTTAAATAATACATTGACAAATGTCAGAAAAGTTTGCATGTGCAGGAAATTCCTAAGCTTCTTGAAACCATTCTTTTTTTTTTAAATGAAATAAGTTCAGCCTCTTGTCAAATCAGTGAAACATTCCCAGTATTTATTTTGCACTCAGAGTTTAATTAAAGTTTGGGATTTTGATATATGTATTTTAGAGTTGTTTGAAGTGTCAAGTACCTACTTTAGAAAAGGATTCTTTTGCTGAGAAAAAAGTCCACAGTTTTATTTTTTTATTATTGAAAGCATTTATTTGTTCTAATTTATTTTGCACTATCGTATCTGATATTGGTTGTCTGACTCCTAGCAACCAAAAAGCTTCAGTTTGGCTTTCATGGGGGAAGCCTTCTAATATTTAAGCAATCATATCATTGCATAAAATAGTCATTTTGGACTTGGTGTTATAGCTCAATAGCAAGAAAACAATTGCTGTTGTGCTGAATTCTTTTAATGTTTTCTAAGATCTGATGCTCAAGTATGCCTTTTCAATGCAAATCTTTTTAGGTGATCAAGGAGACACATGCTTCAATTGCATAGGAACTGGAATAACTGGGCCTCCTGGGGAGAGAGGACCACCGGGACTTCCAGGTAGTCCAGGTAAGGCTGTAGTCTTCACTCTTTTGCTTAATATATTCTATAAAGTCACTTTTGAATCTGAGTATCTGTGTATAATGCTAATGATATATTTGTGTATTGTGTTCAAATTCAGATGCAGAGTTGCCAGCTCCAGTATATAGTTGGTGCATGTCCTGTCTTGCACAGCTGGGGAGTGTTAGGAAGAAACAGGCTGGATAAGTGTAAAACAATCACTTATTTTTTGAAAATCTAGTTTTTCAAAAAAAATTCCCTGATCAAAGACAGACTTGCAAGCATTCTGCGTATTGAAGGTTTATGGTCTGCTGCAGATTTAACTGAAAGAGAGAAATCAACTTCTACTACTTGCTATTCCTGAAATGATAGAGGAAGGAGCTGGAGCTTTCTAAAAGCGTGGCATTTTTGACACTAGTGATTTAACTTAAAGTTGCAAATTTTGTTGTGCTCAAATAAAATCAAGCTCTCAAAAAAAAACCCAAAACAAAACCAAAAACCACCCAGGCTAAACCTGGCCTGGTTTTAAAACAACTTAGCTATTATCTTATGCAAACAGCATGCTTTATATTTACAGCTTCTACAGTTTTATGTTTTTCTTTTATGTTTTTCTGCACTATTCAGGTTCTCCTGGTTTTCCTGGACCAAAAGGTGAAAAGGGGCTTCCTGGATTAACTGGCCTTGTAGGGCCACCAGTAAGTGGTGGTGTTATGTTCTGGTGGTAAAATAGTGCCTCATTTGTCTTGCATGTTTGGTAGGTCTGTGCACAGTAGATATGAATTCTTGCCTAATACTTCTTTTTTTGTCCATAGCTAGCCTGAATGCATAATTCTTATATTGTGCCAAATTCAGAGAGGGAATGAAAGAAAAACTAAAATGCTTTTTTTTTTTTTTTTTTTTTCCCCGCCTCAGGGTTTCCCAGGGTCCCCAGGTCCTCCTGGGAGACCTGGTCCTAAAGGAGACCCAGGGGATGTCCTGACTTCTCCAAGAATGAAAGGTGACAAAGGAGACCCTGGCTTCCCAGGACCACCGGGTCTTCCTGGCATAGATGGCACTCCTGGACGAGATGGACTTCCAGGTCTACCTGGCCCTAAGGGGGAGCCTGTGAGTTCCATTTTATGCTGTCTTTGATTGGACAGATGTTTTGGGAAGTCCTGGATGCATGTGACATAATGCAGATAAGAGGACTGGCAAATGCACTTTTCTCTGAATGTGACTAACGCAGTAATTCTCATCTGTAGATGCCAATCTAGTGGTGATATACAGAGGTACTCCCTGGATCTGTCAATGCCTCTAAAAAATAAGCTGAGACTTCTCTTGGGTAGTGTCAGATGGTCCCTTCTGCCATTGTCCGATGTAGCATGAAGAATTAAGTAGCCAGGTTTAGACCTTATCTTTACCATGTTAGCAAGATGTAGGCAGCTAATGGTCTTGAGGGCTGGAAGGATGGAAACTGCCAAAGAATTTCAAAACAGAAACAATTAAACTCTTTACTCCTTTGCTAGTAAATACCTGTTCCTCTTTCCCATCCTCCTTTTCCTTTTTTCAGGGCAGTGTTGCATTCAAAGGAGAAATGGGTATTCCAGGTGATCCAGGAATACCAGGTCTTCCTGGAGACAAAGGACTTCCTGGGCCTCCTGGTTTTGGTCCACAAGGTTCACCTGGTGAAAAGGGCATCCAAGGTGTATCAGGCCGTCCAGGGCCTCCTGGAGTTCCTGGTAAGTTGGTCTCTGTGCTATTGAACAACAGCTGTAAAATCAAGTTTTGTCATTTTGCTCCAGATAGTTCTCAGAACATAATGCTTTTAAGCTTTTCCCAAAGGCATTGTAAGACCTAGTATTTATAAGCTCCCTTAATGAAGGTCATCACAGAATCTCAAAGAGGAGAACTTGTGCTATATTACTATAGGCACATGATTCACCCTTCTGCTCTGACCTCTAGAGAAGCTTCTCCTTCTCAACTGAATATAGTGGAAGTACATTGTAACTACCATCTGGCTTATGCTTAATAATACTGCAACTACAACAGTTTTTGGAAAAAAAAAAGGGGGGTTGCTTTGAACAAGTTTGCTTTTGTTACTTTCTTGTCAACTGCACAGATCCTGATCAAGTTGTGATGGTGTCAGCTATGGAAAATATTATTCACGTGATGATACCTAGGAGGAAGCTGAAAAAATAACATTTCAAGAAAACTGTCTTAACATTAAACGATGCTTCCAAGCCTATAAGTGCTGTATGGAGCTCAGGGGCAGATAGCCTATTTGGTAAAATGTTGCTGGTGTTTAAATTCTTTGTAAGCTTGGGATGTGGCTGGCATCTTTTTCTGCTTGAAGAAAAATAGAAAATAAACTCTTACTGAGTGATACATGCTTATTCTTTTTGGGTTTAGGTCCAAAAGGTGACCCTGGCCAGACTATTACAGAACCAGGAGTTCCTGGCCCCCCTGGTCCTCCAGGAAGAAATGGTGACCCAGGTCTTCCAGGTAAAGCAGCAACTAGATATCCAGGAAATTCCAAGAGCTTTTTATTCTGACTGACTGTTGATAACTATGTTGATTTTCTTTTTACAGGAGATCCTGGTCAGCCAGGCCAGCGTGGCTTATCAGGCATCCCAGGTGCAAAGGGAGAGCCAGGTATTCCTGGCATTGGACTTCCAGGTCCGCCAGGCCCAAAAGGTATGGTTACAGCCATGTTACTGTATTGTACTGGCTGGAAGAGGGGACATAAGAGGGTTGTGTGTCTTCACTTTCTCCTACTGTGAGTTGATTTCTGTCTCTACAATCCTTTAAAAAATGTTTCTCTTGAATTTATACATCTTTATAATAGTTTCAGAAGTATCGGGGAAAAAAACCTGCTGAGCTCTTACTCCTCTGTTCACTGTACTGCTCCTCCACGGTAGCTTATATTTTTCCATAAACCAAGGACACAAAAGCAAATGGGTAAAACTGGGAAATTATAAAAGTTTGAGCTTGAATCAATAAATGATCTCTAAATGCTTCCTCAAGGTATTAATGTTTCTGATGTGAACTGGTTGTAATTTTTGTTAGAGCACACAGCATGGAGAATGCCCTCCACTGGGAGGAGTCCCAGAGGTTCTCTGTGGCAAAGACAGTATACTCAAAAGTTATCTCAGCCACACAGGTACCCCTCAAGTATGCTTGAGCTAGCACAGAACCTCTTTTCAGAGATTACTTTCCATGGGCCCTAAGCATTTCTGGAAGAGTTTTTCTAATGCTCTCTGGTGTCCTCTCCTCTGCTGCCCTAACCTTCATGCCATGTGTAGGTTTCCCAGGGACTCCAGGCCCCCCCGGAGCTCCAGGAACTCCAGGTCGCCCTGGTCTAGATGGACCTCCTGGACCACCTGGTTTCCCAGGACAGAAGGTCTGTGTTTGCTTGTTTAATATAAAACTTCACTTTTTTAGAGGTTCTGCATCAGTGGGAAGTTAGTGGGGACGATTTCACCTCTTGTTATCAGCTTTTGATGCAGGGAAGTCACATTCTCTACTTGAGGTTTGAGTGAGGGTAGGAAAAAAAAAAAAGAGAACTCTAAGATGGTGGGCATTTTTTCTTCGCTACTTTAACATTTTTAGGAGAGGCTTTTAAAAAAATTGTTAATTTGTTACAGGGGGATCGTGGATTTGGAGTTCCAGGACCACCTGGACCCCCAGGACCACCAGGCATAAAAGGAGTCCAAGGACCTAAAGGTGATCCTGGCTTCCCAGGAAATCCTGGTCTCCCAGGACGGGCAGGTTTTGATGGAACTCCAGGGCCCAAAGGTATGGAGAACTCTCCCCTTTTCTGTTGCCTATTGAACTTCAAAAATGTAGACATGCTGGGAGTCATATGGCAGTTAAATGCAAGCAGTGTTAACTTTAGAGCAATTTCTTTAGGGTCCATTTTCCCAAATCAGAGACACCTGTGTAAATGGAAGGTTGTGTTTTCAAAAGACAAGCAAGCAAGGGAGTAAATGCCAATCTGTGGATCAGTATGTAAAAGTGTCTTTTATAAAGACAATTCATGTTAACATGGGGGTAAAACTTTTGCAATAGAATAATTGTCATTTAGATGCACTGTGCTTCAACATGCAGAGGGTTAGCAATTCACAGATTCCTACTGTTAATCGTTGTCTGTATTGAACTGCAGAGCATGCCTGGTTTGCTGGAGAGCACCTGTGGAGTTTGTTGTGCATTATGATGCAATAACATGTCTCTGTGTAGCCTAAAAATGTAAACTACGTGCATTCCACACAGGGTGAGGACAAATCCCTGGCTTTCAGAAATAGCCTCTGAAGTGTGTTTTTTCCTGTGTCAGATCCATATTTGTTTGCATTCAAAGACAAGATTTCAAGTACAATGTGCAGGCACTCTGCTTCTGAAAGCAAGTATCTCTGGACTGAGTTCACTATTTAACTAAACAAGGGTGTTCTTTTAGGTGACCCTGGACCAAGTGGACCACCAGGACTTCCAGGCCCACCAGGCATCCCTGGCATTGGTGGTCAAGGTCCACCTGGATCTCCAGGACCTCCAGGTCCTGTTGGCCCTCCAGGTAAAACTCGCATGAATTGTACCCTTACGTTATTTCTGGCATACACCAAGCAGGTACACAGGACACTTAAGGTCCCACTGAACAGATGGCAAGGAAAGATAGAGACTTCATGTCTATCAGCTTGGTTGTCTTGCCAGTCAAGTGGGCAAAACTTGGTACATCATGGTTTTTACTGAAATCAGAAGTGGAATTACATTCAGCCCCGCCATTTGCACAACTTAGAGAGGTCTCAAGGGTGTAAAAGCTGACTTTGGAGAAGAATTGGAGCCTCAGCAGAAATTCTAGAAAGTATTGTGCACAGACAGTGACAAAATCTCTGTGAAGGGGTTTATCGCAATATTCTTCAGGACAAGACAGAAGGGAACACAACGTCAGATGCAGAAGAGGCAGAGAGCTGCAGTTAGCTGCCTGTACTGTGCTGTCATTACATTGCTTTCAAATAGCAAGATGGTTTTTAAATTCCAAAGTGATTTTCTAGCTTACCAAACTGTATTCCAAATTCACTGGGTGAGTGGTATTTTTAAATAACTGTTTTACATTATTATCTAGAAAATTAATTTCTAGTTTGGGAAAAAAGCAGACAAAGTCAATCCCCTATACAATGCTATTTGTCCTCCCTCTATTTACATGGTGAGTGCAAAATCAAGGGAGTAATTCAGTTTCTCCCCGATGTGGCTATACACTTCTTTTTTCCCCCAATGGAAGCTGAAACATAATTTAACTCGGTTGATGTGGACAGGAAGAAAGCATGAGTATTCCAAACTATCTGGTTCATTATTTTGTAGAGGAGAAAATGTTCTCCGATTAGTGATGTTTTAACAAAAGCCTGCCAGTAAAAGAGGTCATACACATTCATCTTGTCATAAGCACACCTGGAAAAGAGCTTTAGAATTCCTCTTACAGAAACCTCTGAGTTCTGAGGTTTCCAATTCCCTCACGCACTTTTTTTTTCTGCAAAGCCAGCAAGTTTTATGAGTCCTGATAGGTTTGAAGTAGATTGATGAAGTAGAATCTAAGGATAGTGATAACTAGGAACATGTCTCTGAAGGGAGCTTGATTGTGTTTTGATTGGTGACTGATGAAGACATGAACTGGTTCCATCTCTGTGCATAAGGGATATATGTGCATGCATGAACATTATTCTATTCACATTTGTTTAGGGAAATTCCTTTTCCCCTTCATTCAGTGAATGGGCTTGCTGTGCACAAAATCCTGATGTTGCAAATGTGTGGCACTCACCACAGTGAAAACATTCTCTATGGACTTGAGCATGCCTGCCACTGAAACATTTCAAAACCCATCTGGTTTTTGTCATGCCTGTGTGACTGTTTACATTGCATGTTTGTGAGTTATGCTTTTTGATTTTGTTTCTGTGCCAGCACTGGGATTGGCACTGTTCACAATGCATGCTGAAAAATTCATGGCCAATTGTAAGATCGTGGGGCACAGATTGGTTGATCATATTCAGATCTTTATGAACTGTGAGCTGAGATTCAGCAAAGTGCTTAACTTGAAGGTGGGCAAGTACTTTAGTAAGTAGGCCCATGGAGTTTGAGTTCTACTCACATACATAGAGTCTGGGTCATGTTTAAGTATGTTTTTTAACAAGTTTCCCAGTGGGGAAAGGAACGTGTGGTTGCTCCACCAGCAACCCTTGAATGTGTCCAGTATTAAGTGCTAGGGTCAGAAGGGGTCTGGACAATATGCACAGAAGTTCCCTGAGCCGGCAGGTGCGTCCTCTGCCTGGCTTACTGTGCTTACTATACTGTCCTGAACCTGTGGTTGCACTTGAGGCTGAGCTGAAACAGAAGGTAACACAGGTGTGTATTTGTGGGGGATGTGTTAGTATGGGTTTGAATGTTCCGTCCAATGCATGTTCTGTTGTCTTCCTGTAACATCTCTTCTGGTGTTAGCCAGAATTTCATTTCATACGATCACTGGTTTATTCTGCAAAATACCAATTTTGACAAATGCACAATTGTTACTAGAGTTGGTGGATTTGAAATGCTTATATTTTTGCTCTTCAAGTCTGTACTGACTAATCATTGTGGCTACTAACAGCATGGTGGCTCTGAAATTTAGTGCATGGTTGAAGGTCCCACTTGAGAAGTCCTTGCTATTTCCCTTGGCACTGCTATTTCTCTGTTTTGTGCAGAATGCCTTACATTCCTATCTCCCATCCCTTGTTTGTTTTACTAGGCTGTTTTGATTCTGTTCCTTTGTGCAACATTAGGGTAAAGTTTCTGGGGCTCTGCATACAGTGGTAGCTGCACTTTGAAAAAGACCTCCAAGTTTCCTTGCAGTCTGGTTTCTCTTAACTGTATTAGTGTTGTATTCTTTGTACTTAGATCTGTTTTTGGTAACTTTACAGTAGATTTTTTCTACGTTCTAATCTGTATGTGCTTTATTTTGGTTCCTAACTTAACGACTATTACAACTCCTTACTGCTACCTGTCTCAACCTCCTGATGAGCTCTAACTCGTTGGCTTTTGAACCTCAGGTTCCCCAGGTACTGTGGTTTCTTTACCAAAGCCTTTTCTTAACTTCGGATTTAAGAATAATCCTTTTTTTGTCAGCTATGTTTCCAGAATAAGCATCTTCACTGATACAGTGCACTGGAGGGAAGCAAGCTGTCTGCTTGCTTCAGCAGTGCCTTGAGCATTACCATTAAACAATCTTAAGTATATTTTGACAATTGATATTTTTCATTCAGGGATATGTAATGGCATGCAGAATTTTACTATCCTTCAAAAGTATTCAGCCGATGTTATCTTAGAATGTAGTAAAATGGAATCAATAAGAAAAATATACTTTTAAGAATCTCAGTATTTAATGGTAAAATACAAACCAGTCTAATCAATCCTGGCTTTTTGTTTTATTAATCAGACTTTAAAGGGTTGTTGAAGAGTTGTTTGCTTTTTGAGATTTTTTTGAATTGCATTTGCTACAACTTGGTAAAATTTTAGTAGTGCTTCTCTTCAGGAGAATATGGCCTTTTAACACTTGGAAGCCATTAAAAAATAAATGGTTTTAGAAGAATTGCAGGGTCTTCATCAGTCCTAGGAATAGACTGCAAATAGAACTTTAGCTATTCCTATAGTACTACACCCAGAGACGCACAGATCTCAGCCTTGCCTTACTTTTTGCTAAAAGATTGTGTCTTAACAACATTGTCTAGGGTTGCAGGGTGTTCCAGGGGAGAAAGGGGATCCAGGTCCTCCAGGCTTCGACGTTCCTGGGCCCCCAGGTGACCGAGGAACCCCAGGCTATCCAGGACCCCCTGGTCTTCCAGGGCCTCAGGGTTCACCTGGACCACCTGGCCGGGATGGAATACCTGGATTTCCAGGTAAGTTCACATTTTTTACCTGTGGACAAAGATCAAACTGTAGTTACAGCTGGATGCTCTTTATGCTTAGGCATGCCAGCTTAATGAGTTTTGATGTTTATCCTATCCATTTAAAGTTGGACACATGTAACCATGACATCTCATACTTTTTAAAAAAAATTGTAACAGAACTTGTTACGTTAAAATCCTTGTCACCTCTCCACTCTTCCCTGTACTTGATTCAAATATTTTCTACATTATTCTGTGTCATAACTTTGAAACGTGACTTTGGTCATCATCATTCTGACAATTTTCTAATTTATTTTCTGATTATTTTTTTTCTAGTCACTGCTACAATTTAGAAATACAATTTTTTTAAAGGAAATAATTACCAATGCTATCAATTGGATCCAACACATAGTTTTAAATATCAATTTCCTTATTCTACGTGTTAGACTATCCAGTTAAGATAGTCTGTTTCGCCCTCTGGAGTAGAAATCTCAAAAGTGAACTTTGAGAATCTCTGTCTTCAGACAGAGGGGGCAATACAGAAGATTTTAAAAGTAGCATATTCCTAATTGTCTTTTTGGCTTTCAATAAATTCAAGATTGCTTTCAAACAAGTATTTATGTTTCAAACCAGTGAATTAAACTTATTGGAGGTATAAATATGCTTTCCACCAAAAAGAATGGTGCACTGCAAATTTTATTCGCAGGACTTAACTGTGGAAAATGTGGCAGAATTTTTAAGTGTCATTTTTATCTGATTTAGATCTATATAAGTGCTGAGTGCTTGTAATTCCCTTAAACAGGCATTATATGCATGTGCTGGTTAATAAATACCACAGAGTTGAGGGAAGTAAATATTAAGTAATGATAGGTTTTGAGTTTTTGTTCAGAATGACAGTGGTGATTCAATGCATTTAGGTGCCAAAGGTGAGATGGGCGTCATGGGAACTCCTGGGCCTCCAGGGCCTCCAGGAACTCCTGGAAGAAATGGCCTGCCTGGATTGAAAGGTAATGTTTGTTTTATCTGCCCCTGAAGAGAATGCAGATGCTGTTTTCCATGTCCTGTGTGGAAAGAGGCTTTGTAATACTAACATCTAGATCCTCATTACTTGGATCTGCTTGGGTTATCTTCTTCTGACGGTGTTGATGTTCAGAATTGCTTTGCACATTTAAGCCATAGCATTTGGTCACTCTTTTTTTTTTAATTGATGTAATGAAATGTTAGCTATTTTTAAAACATTACCTTCAGATTGATGATGTTGAAGTAGGGCAATCTTTCTGAAGTATGTTGTAAAGTCTGTTTTAGGCAGCAGAAAGAAGAAAATCAGTAGCTTTAGGTAACGGAGTCATCCAGAATCAGCTCTATAGGTATCACAGAGAAACTATTCTTACCTACATTTTCCCAACCCCCTTGCTGGAGAAGAATTTTGAAAGAGTTTAGTAGGAGAAAAACCCATCCGTCTCCCTAGAACAAGGAAGCTGTGAATCCAAAGCTGCTGTAGCTGTTGCAACTCCTCTGTGCTAGTGGCACAGCAGGGTGGGGTTCCGGGAGCATTTGCTGTGGGTCATACAGACAGCTGCTTCCTCAGAGCCAGGCTGGCCATAGCTGACAGACTGCAGCATGCAGACGTCCCCAGGCGGTCCACTCAGCTTTGTTCCGGGGCTTAAGATGCTGTGGAGAGCCTTGCATAAACTGACTGATCATATAGTGAATTCCAACTTCATGAATAAATCATGGACTCCCTATGTAAGAAAAAGCATTACAAATATATTAGCTTACCTTAAGGATTATACTTTTTCTCTTTTGTTACCTGTACTTACTGTAGGTAATAATGGATTACCTGGTCCACCAGGACCTCCTGGACCAGTAGGACAGAAAGGCATCAAAGGTGAAGCAGGCCTGCCAGGTCCACCTGGAAAAGTTGATCCGAAACAGCTAGGAGCAAAAGGAGAAAAAGGCGAGCCAGGTGTTCCAGGTACAGAACTTCGCATGTGGGTCTGGGGTGGTGGTTTGTCCTCTACAGATAAGTGACCTGTAACTGAATCCACTACATTTCATTCTTTTTTACAGAAGAAACTAAACTCAGAATGCAGAGGTGGCTTAAGGTTCTCTTATTTTAGGCTTTCCTTTAAGCGGTTCTATGACCAGGTTACTCTGTATGGTTGGTTTGCAATGTCCTTGCTCATTAACAGTTCCTATCATTTGGCATATGGAGATATTGTAATAGCACTAAGGTGCTTTCAGCAGGATTATGATTCAGTTTTCTAGGTGTTAATCTTAACCATGATGAGAGATAGTTGTCATATCTGTCATAGCTGCTCTGTTGGCTGCGTTCCTGCTGTCTCACAGGCCCTTGGGCATTTGCCTTGTAGGATGGAATTGCACAGGTCATCTGCTCATGCATCGCTTCCAGATTCTTCCTTTGAGTATCTCTGTAAGCTTACCCTCCCCTGAGCTGAATGTTACCTCTGTGTGTGTTTCTACTTGGGAAGCTGGCAGCATGGAAGGTTTTTTCAGTTCACTCAAGTCTGATTCTCTCTTGCTTGCTTTCCTCCCCCTTCCCCAAGGGTTCTGATGTCTCCTTTGAACTCTTAATTTAGTCTTGAGAAGAGTAAAAATGTTCTACCCCAGAGAGAACCAGAATGCCTTTCTCTGATGTTGGCCCAACCATTATTGTGCTAATTTATCTATTATATTAATTTCTGTGAAACCTAAGACACCTTTTTTTTTTTTAAATTTTTTTTCCCTCTCTGTTAAGTAATAACTGTAGAGGGCAGATGTAACTATGCCTGCAGGGCAGCGCAAAATTATGATATGGGATAATAACCACGTAGAATTTGTAAAAATCTGCTAAAATACGTGCATTACTTTTTATAATGTATCACTCCCAAAGTGCTTCTGGTGTAGCAATGTAATTACGCATGTATATAAATAATCTGGATGAATATAGAGATGTTATCCTGGAGTCTCTCATCCAAAAAGACAGTCCCTTCTGAATGAAGTATATTGGCATTACTCAAAAAGTTACTTTTTCCTCTACTTACTTATAATGTCCCTGTTCTGTAGTAATTTTAAACTTTCCAGAAGCAATATTTTGTGTTCTGTGATACTTCTCTTCATTAAACTATGGCAAATTATATTTACTGAAGCAAAATCCCTTATTTGGATTTTTATTCACCAATAGGTACATATGATCTCTTCAGGTAAAAGAAAACATTCAGTAGTAGTAATATTAATAACAATAAAATGTATCTTTTCCCTTTGAGGTATTCCTGGTTTATCAGGACAGAAAGGTTATCAAGGTCTCCCAGGTGACCCAGGCCCACCAGGACCTAGTGGCCCACCAGGTGTGCCAGGATTGCCAGGTAAGTAAGCAAGGCCTCAGGGTGGACTGTTTTGATGTGTAAAAATTTGGATGCGTTTTTATCACATGGGATTGGGATGTTAATCCAGGTATATCTACGCAAAGCCTAGGGATTTACACTTAAAGCTGCAGCACAGCTTTGGGACGTGTAAATCATTATCCAAACAGCATGCTTTGAGATCTTTCCTTCTAACCAACCCAAAAGCAGTTTTAAGCTGATCTGGTTGAAGATTAGGATAGCTTTTAGGACGACTGGAAAATGCTTGCTGCTGGAGCAAGCAACATGACTGCAAGATCTGCCAACAGGACTTGCCTATTCCATATGTTTATTTCTTATATTATACTCGTACTTTGTAAATGGCCAAATTAATGTATTGCAAAGGCTGTGTGGATGTCACATCTTTGCTTTCAAGAATTGCAGGATCAAGAAAACAAATTCTGTTTTGCACTGCTTCTTCCTGAAGCTATGACAAATTATCTGAAATCTTGAATCTTTGTTCACTATGTCTAATAGAGGTCTTGCTCTAAATATCTTGTTGGGCTTGGGGAATTTTTTTTAACCATGCAGGACTCAAACTAGTTTGAGCATTGTAGGTTGCATTTAATTCCATAATAGAAGCTACTGAATACCTATTGCAGATGAGAAAGAGATAATGTGTTCATTCTCCAGAACAACTCATGAAAGACCAAGTCACACCGGTACTAAATTGTTTCAGATGGTTACTAAATCATAGACTGAGATTTACCCATTTTATTAGAGTAATCTTCAAAACAAAGAAGTTGCCCTGATCGAATCTTGGCTTGGAACAAACTGAGGATGTTTAATATTTCACTACAAATGGGTATGAAAAAGCACGCAGGAGCAGTATGAAACTGAAGGCAACTCCAAATCCATTGCCCTTGTAATTAGATGAAAAGCATATTCATCTGAGAATACATGAATATCAGAAACTTTTAATTATTGCCATTAATTAACTAAACCGACAACTTTCCTAGGCATCAAGGGAGACACGGGGCTTCCTGGGCAGCCTGGACCAACAGGACCTCCGGGGTTAAAAGGTGCCATGGGAGAGATGGGCCTTCCAGGTAAGTTTCTGTGCTTGTATTTTACTTCATTTTGGCCAGTGTTTTCCTTTTATATAGTGCAAAGGTTGATCTCCTTGTGTGCAGTATCTAATAATGTATTTAAATGGCAATGCAGATGAGGAATACATAAAATCCTGTATACAGAATTGTTGAAATAGTACATACAAAATTGGAAATACCCATTAAAACAGAAAATGCAAATAGTAAATATATTGTAAATACATATTATTTTAAAGTGCTTACAGATGTAGAAGGAGAACAATCTACATTTTGTACCTTTAATGCTTTTCTGGTTTCTCGGATCCATTCTGTGAAAGTTCAGAAAAATATGATTCTGTAAATCCACCTGTCAGAAGACAGACATCAGATACAAGCAAAAGGGGAAGGAGAATGTGGATTCCGTTATTTAGAAAGATTGCTGAAACAAAAACTCCAGTTTCTGCGGATTCTAATATTAAATTGTGCCTAGATACGACAAAGAGATATTTGGATTTGTGTAAATTCAGACTGAAAAAAGAAAGCTTAGAAATGTCATGCAGAAAGCCGTGAGAGATTTTGTATAATTGTTTTAGTTTGTTTTTAAAAATAAAAACACATTAGGTATTCAAAGCCAGCCAGTTAATTTGTTAGTACTTTCTAGTTCAGTTCCTGTCATTTTGAGTGATTTCTCTAAATCACTGCAGAAGTTTTATTTATATTTATTAAACTTGTATCTTACCTTTTGGACAGGTCCCCCAGGGATTAAAGGCAGCCAAGGAATCGCAGGACGTCCAGGGCAGCCTGGACCTGCAGGATTTCCTGGATTGAAAGGGGAGAAAGGTGACCCTGGTCTTTCAAGCATCGGTATTCCTGGTCTCCCTGGACCAAAGGTACATTTACAAAATTCTTCAATAGAAAATTCCATGAGGAAATTAGATTTAGGGGATTAACTATAACTTAATATATATTATATATAACTGTAAGTATGTATGTAAATATATTAATAACAAGCAGGGTTGACTGTGGTTTGTTCTTTTCAGGTGGGAGCAAAAATTTCTAATTTAAAAGGTGAAAATATTATATATAATTTAATCTGGCTAAAGGAGAAGATTGTTTACCAGACCTTTGTAGTTGGGTTCAGTTAATGGCCTAGTTTGCACTGTGACACCCACTGACAGTTTGATATTTGGTAGGGCTTTATAAAACTAGTATCATTGTTCCCATGTCTAATTATGTAGTTAATTCTACGAAAATTAAGACAATATGCATTTAAGAATAAATTACTATGGAGCTGATATTACTGCTGCTTAAAATTTTTAAGTCTATACAAAACATTTGCATTGTCGTTTACCTGTAACATCCTTTCCGTCACCCACAAAAGAGTGACAAAAAGAGGTACAGATATCTAACAGCCTTCACTTATGCCTTACAGTTGATGTTGAGCAGCAATTAATTTAGCAAAAACATTGCATGCTTAAAGCTCCACAGGTTTCTTTTTTCTTCTGCATTATCATGGGGTAAAATTCTCTGTCTCATCTCAAACAAAAGAGAACACATTTTTTCTTTAGTGTAGGCCAGTTCTGAGGAAAAGCTACGATACTCTGTATACGAAATTTTAGGGGAAATCTGTTAAAATCTTTGCAATTGCTATTTCCAATTAATTTTCTGTGTGAGATGGTTAACATTAACTGGATACAAGGAGAAGTGTTCGCAATATACTGGTGACCTTTTTGTGATGATAAGACTGTGAACATACAAGGGCTTACCCATCTTACAACAACAGGGTTCTTATTTCTGCTTGATGTTTTCTAGGGTGATCTTGGTTTGCCTGGATACCCAGGTAGTCCAGGCAGTAAAGGTATAGCTGGAAATCCTGGTTTGCCTGGATTTCCAGGTAGTCCAGGTGCAAAAGGAGAACCAGGCCTTCCTGGATTCCCAGGTAATTCGGAACTTGATTTTTTTTTTCCCCTCTTGCTCTCTGATATTGGTATATACATTTAAACACAGTGGGTAATTGGTGAAGGGCTGCAGCTTCTTTCAAAATTTCTAGCAATCTGCTGCTTCTAAGCTTTGTGCTGTTGGAATTGTCACTGCAAGAGTAAGTGTGTGAATGCATCACTTAAGAGTGCCTTCTGAAATGATTAATCTACTCTGAGGGGATGTAGCAGTTGTGTTAGCAGTCAGACTCTCACCTTCTCTGACCCACAAAATACCTGTGTTTGGCTCCATATTTTTCCTTCACAAGTCAATAAAAAAGTGTCATCGGGAAGACTGGGCTTGTTTAATAGCATCTATTGTCTAAAAATATGTTCTAAAGAGAAATCTCTTTCTGAAACATAATGAAATTAGGTTTTGCACTTTTTTCTAAGAAGTATTAGAGATTGTTCACATGTATATGTCATTTCTTTTGTTCTCAGTTTAAAGAAACAAGGTTTTTACCTATGCTGCATTTGCAGCAATAAAGGCTGTTCTACAAGCATGCTTGAGCTGCTTTAGCGTAGGAAGTTAGAGAATTTATAACAGTGTAGTCATGGCAGCAGGAAGTATGGAAGAGAACAAAACTTGGCTGTGAACCTCACATTTTTTAACCTCTGCTTCATGTCATGCCTGAAAGGCTGTGAAGAGTCAAGACAGTGTATTGAGGCACTACCTTGATCAGGCTCAGATGCTGTTCAGAACAGACATACTGCAATGGATTGATTGTTTTTCCTGCCTCCCACTCAGTTCATGCTGTAGGGATGAGAATCCAGAGTAAATTCTAAGATCATTTTTATTAATATCCTTTTTCAGGAGAGGAAAGGAGGATTGGGGAAACACTAGCCAGCCACAGTTCATAATTCTTTAACTTTGTTGTCAAGCAGAAACACCTGTCTCTAAAACAGTAATTTCCTAGAGACAGACAGACACAGTGTCTTTGGCCACTGGTACTCAACAATTAAGAAGTCAGAGTCTTGAGAGTAGCAGTAAGGACAGTTGTGTTAGTATGTTTTGTTTCTGTACATTCTTTGCTTTATAATTCCTCTCCTTAATCAGCTGTAAATCTGCAAAATTAGCATAAATATGGTATCTTGATACAATTAGCTCATTTGTTACTCAGGGCACATTTCAAGATCTGCTGAAAAGCCAGTTTGGTGCTTAGTTTGATTGAAATGTCCATACTTTACAGGAACACCAGGAATTCCAGGACCAAAAGGTATGGAGGGGCCTCCAGGTAATCCTGGCCTGCCTGGACCACCTGGGCCAGTAGGTGAGCATGAACAGTGCAGCAAAGGTCAGCTGCTTTTGTGAAAGACATAACATAATATGAAGCCACTTGCTATCTTCTTAGCTTTTTAACATCATGAAAAGGCATCTATATGTATATGGATGCTCAAAGATTATGCTCTGCTTAAAGATCATTGAGGCATTGCTGTGCTAATGTATTCTATCCCCCTTTTAGGTGATATTGGTCGTCCTGGCCCTCCTGGTCCTTCAGGGGAGAAGGGACAGCCTGGTCGTGATGGTATCCCTGGACCAGCTGGTCAGAAGGGTGAACCAGGTTAGGTATCCTTCCTGTTTATTTTCTCCTCTTCACTCTGCGTTGTGATATCCTGCTTTCTCTATTCTATTTTTCATATAACTGCCCATACACGTTCAAAGCCGATTCTGTGGTTCCCAGCTGCTAAACGGTTCACAAAAGATGCTGTCAAGGAGAAGAATTCAATCAGCTCTTAGATTTTTATTACCTGACTTCAACCCCCCTGTTCCTGTATTCCATGGTGGCTGTATTGCTTCAACTCAGTTACAGAATGGATGAACAGTGTAATGTCTGCTTAAAGATAGAACCCCAGCCGAAAATGCCAATGTATTAACTCCCAAAATCTGAAAGAGCATCTTGTGAATGGATGGAAATACTTAGGAAAGTTACAAATGCATTTTGGTAGCAAAACCTCTAGATTTGGTGTAGACTGGTAAGTGAATGAAAATCCTGGTAGTTTCAAGGAATCAGAGATTTAGATGAACTGCACTTTCATCATTCTCAGCCTCATATTCCTATTCCTGGAGACTTGTAAGCTAAATATTCATCTGTTTCTTTTCAGGTCTACCAGGTTTTGGGCGTCCAGGACCTCCCGGACTCCCAGGATTGTCAGGTAAAGTTTCTCTGTTGTTCTTCACTAAAAGGGTTGAATGTAAAATATATCTATATACCAAAAAAAGAAGGGGATGTTGTATGATCTGCAACAAATGAATGCCATAGCAACAACTAAAACAATGGGTTTTTTTCTCAGCTCACCATTTTCAATTAACCAAAGTAATAAAGACACACATTACTGACTACTGAATTTTGTAAATTAGCAATTATGCAGACAGAATAAATCCACACAGTATAATAGTCTGCTGCATTGTATGGAACTTTGCTGATTTGTCTCAGTAAATAAAGTATTCATACAACAGATGACAAATGAAGCTGCTTTTGAAAATATAGATCCTTGCTATATTTTTCAAAAGCAACTTCAAAACCTAAGTTCCGTTACTTTCCAGTAGTGTTAAAGCTCCTAAATTCCTCAAGCTTATTTGAAAATTTTATAAGTATGTCTTAACTTTCAGCAGCATCTCAAAAAATGATAAACTCTTAACATTGCCAGATTTCTTCACAGGTATATAAAAGCTCATGAAAGCATTGCTTGTAGGCTTACAAACTCTATGAATTATGGCATCACTGAGTAGTAAAGTGAGACTTAGTAAGACCTTTTAACATGTCAGAAGCTATAGCACTTTCTCCTGCAAGAACTATTAGCCCTAACTCTTTTCTGAATGTCAAACCAATTTTATACTGTCTTGCTGCACAAATGAAGTGAGTTGTGACCAGACTTGCACCGTCTGCAAGAGCGAGAAATGGCTCTGCAAATTGACATTTGGACTTTTTTGCATATCAGTTTGTAACAGTATTCATAAATGTGGCTGTTTGGTTTTACAGGGCAAAAAGGAGAACTGGGGTTACCTGGCCCACCAGGGCCCCCTGGACTTCCAGGTCTGAAGGGAGAACCAGGTTTCCAGGGCTTCCCTGGTCTACAGGGTCCACCAGGTCCACCAGGATTACCAGGGCCACCTCTGGAAGGTCCTAAAGGTAGCCCTGGCCCACCAGGTGTTCCAGGAAGGCCAGGTAAGAATGTCATCTGTACCTATTGACATCTGCCAGTACTTCCATATTTTGCTGGTAGGTTATCAGCCTTTAAACTTTCTCAATTTATTTGGATGGATAAGTTCAAGCCTTGTGGCCTAGGTCTTAATGTTTGTGGGCAACCAGAGGATTTTGTTGCCAAATGAAATAGTATCTAAAAACAAACCAGCCTCAGTTTCTATTAATTTCTGATACCTGGCAGCAAAAATCCAACGCGTTAATAAACGGGAGATTCTCCGCATGCTGTCACAGTAATCATCTAGCGAGCACGATACCGACTTTTGAATATCTGATACCTTTGCAGTATTGTCACGTGATCAGCAAATGTCATCGCGCACAAAAAACCAAAAGTAACAAACCCCATCATTTTAAGAGTCATGAAAATCAAATTCACGCTAGCATCACAGCATGATCAAATTGGATAGCTGCCTCCTCATCTTCGTGTCATGTAACATAAGTCATTGCTCCATTGTGTCACGTGGCTCCCATGGACTCAGTGCACCATCATGCCGTGTTCATCTTTTCATTCCACGTTTGCATTTTGTTCCTGCACCAACTAATTCTGAGAATGAAAAAAACACTATACTGAGTTAACATTGCTGAGCAACTCCCTGGCATGTAGTAGAATTTGATTCATAGAATGTTTATTTGCATTTAGATACTGCTCTTGAAAAACTTAATTTTAATGAACCTGTCACAGATCTGGCTCAAGCTTATTGCTGTGTCTCGAGTCCAGAAGTACTTTGCCACCAATAAGAGTCATCTCCCTTGACATGCTTAAAGGAGAGCCTCCTTAAAGGAGACTACTTTCAAACCAACCAATTGGTTGATTGCAGTTTTTTCTTGTATATAAATGGAGAATTAATATTTTTATTTATTGCCCTCAAACTCTGACCTCACATCTTTCCCCAAAGAAATCTTTGAATGACAGAAAGTTAGTTTTGAGTTAGTGCATTTGTAAAATAGTTGCTACACATGTATTGTTAATTTTTAGGTATCAAGGGAGAGTTTAGTTTTGCAGGACACACTTGAAAAGATTTTAAGACTCATTTTTTCCTCATGCTTGCTTCTTATACAGGAGTAGGTAATCCCAATGAAAAATGTTTTTAGAATGGACTTTTATAAAAATATTTTCACTAGAACTGGAATTGAGTAATATTTGATTGGCAGTATGAGCTTTTCTTTTGTGCAGAGTAGACTATGAAAAAAAGAGTCATTATAAGGAACATTTGGTTTCAGTTTATCACACCTTAAAACTGGGGTGCTGTTTACCAGTATAATGAAGCTTTCTTTTAGTCCAAGTAAAAAGACTTGAATTGTATTGTGTCCTGAACCTGCTTTTTATGTGACTGGAGTGGAACAACCGAGTGGGTTGATAATTCACAGCCAGTCACAATTTCTTCCTGGTTTCCTATTTGGTTAGTAGAAGGAGGAGTGCATGCCTTCCCCCCTCCTCCTGGAGGAACTTGCTCCCTGCTGTGCCCCAGGGACTCTAACCAGTCAGTGGAGCATCCGTGCAGCACGTTGGTAGTCCTAATTTGCTTTCCACTTTGTGTGAGGCCTTGTCCTCTTCTGCCTAGTTGCTCACTAGCAGGTAGGAGTATGGGACAAGTAGTGCCAGCTCTGCGCGCTGTGGTCAGCTGGGGCAAGTGGGAGAAGGACTGAAGAGATAAGAGATGGTGGGGTGCTGGACTTGGGCTTTGTAATTTAAGTGTGCCCAAATAAAGGCCTAAGTCATCCAAGACATCAAGCTCTTCCAAATTCTTCCGTATGTGGAGTGGTACAGCAGGTAAAATTTTGGCACAGGAAGCTGATTGGTCCATAAGACTTACAGGCTTTCATTTTTAAAAGATTCTTATACAGAGGATATCTCCAAACTCTTAAAAAAAAAAAAAAAAGTAAACCAGCTAAGCAGCTCCTGATGTATAATAAAACTACCAACCTCAGTTCTATGCTCTACTGTAGCATTGGTGTTTTTATGAAGCTTCTCGCCCTGTTTACACTTCTCTGTATAAATCAGGTGCTTACTGACTCCCATCAGCTGGGGAAGTAGAGGAATGGTGGGACTGACTTTGTGCTGTTTTCTGAGCATTGTTGGGGGAAAACAACCAGTGAGGTTCTGCTCAGCCATGTTCTCTCTCTCTTTCTCTTTCTTTCTTTCCTTCTCTTATTTCCATTTTTGTTGCATGCAATGTATAAAGTGAAGCATTTGTTTTGCTCAGTTATGCGTGCACTAATGTGGATAAACCAAACTATTATTGCAGTTCTGGTACAATCAGCACTCCAGCCTTTTGTTTCAAATGATAACACAGACTATTGTTGGAACGCTGATTTTGTAATTTCAACTTAAGGCAGCTAGTCATAAAAGCAGCTGTGTGGCTGTCAAATTACCCCCCTTCTAGGGACATAAATAAAACCAGAAGCTGTATGTGTATAAAGTTTGTTGTTGACTTCTGGGTATATTCTAAGATTAGTAAAAACCATGAAGTCAAACATGGTGTAACTCTCTGACTTCAGTTGAGCTGCCCCTAAAACAAATGTTAATAGATGGTGTTGGCACGGATTTATTAATGGATTATAAAACTAAGCCAATTTCCAGGGCAACACAACATTGATGTTACTCCACATGTCTATTTTCATTGCTGTGAATAATAATAGTTTGGTGTTTTGCATACTGTATATAAAGGAATATTGAGCTAAATCTAAAAATAAAGGTTTAGTTGAATATGTTAGCTTGTTGATATTTCTAACAATTTTGATGTTTTTCCCCTTGTTCTAATGATGACCTTGGTGAACTCTGACCCCCTACTCCCAGGTCCCTCAGGTTAGCCCCTTAACTCCAAAATAATAACTTCGCATGAAAATGAATGTATATATTTTTGTAGTGTCTAAATGTAGATATGCTGAGTCATTTTTCAGACATACATTTTAATTTATGGTAGAAAAGAAAAGCTCAGAGTTGGCTTTCAGACTCTTTTGCCATGTTGTTGTTAGACTGACATTGGAAGGACATAGCGTCGCTCTCCCCATGGTGGAAGATCATGTGGGTCCAGATTTGCAAGGCTTTTATAAAGTGTCCCCAACTGTGAAACTTGTTTTAGCATATTTATTCTTAGTACCATTGAAAAAAATATATACTGTCTTTCATCTTTTTTTCAAAAGCATATTGCACTGTCCTCCCATGTCTTTGCTGTATAATTGTGTTTTGCAGCTTGGGCAAATGACAGTATTAATTTTTGTAACACCTGCTACTGTTGATTTTGGACACTCTCAACTGACTTAAATAAATTAGATGTTTCTTTTATATCAACAGTGCCTGTAGGAAAATTTATACAGAGTAACAGTGGTGCTTTACCTTCCCAACTTAGAGTGTTGTAACTTTGCAGTGCAGAGAAATCCTTATTTCCATTGTTTTGCTTAACCAACACATTTAGAGGAAATGGGGAAAGTTCTTCCTTTAACATGTATTTAATGAAAATGGAGCATACAGCCCTCCCCTCCCTAACGCGAGGGCGGTGGAACAGGATTGGTAAGAACATGGTCATTTTCACAAGCTTATTATAATTTTAGCATATCAGCATGTAGCACAAGCCAGCCCTTGGGAAGATTTTTGACACCTGTGTCTAGATTGAAAATGACTTGGTATATCTGTTCAGTAAGAATTAGGTCTTTAGGTTTTGCTATGATGACTTTCAGGAAGCAAAGAACTGTCATCAAAATTCAATAAAGGAATACGTTTTATTTTTTAGTGTGCTGTCCTAAGCTCTGTGAGCTAGCGAATGTGGTAGCCTCTGATATTTGAATCCTAGCTTTATGCAGTCATGTAAAAAAACCAATGTGGCTTTACCATTTAATTAAACTGTGGCCAGACAAGCAGAAACCACACTTTCAAAGAGTGCTGCCATCATGGGTGTGCTGAGAGGAACTTAGAAATTGCTTCATGTTTTGTTCACCCTGTGACTGTGCCCAGCCAGAATTCAATAATCAGCAAATATAGGACAGATTCATAAATCATAGCAAAACTTATCTAACCGTGAAATATAGTTTATAAGTACTTAACAGTAACAATGAAATGTCCATGTCATTATTTTTAACAACTGTATTACAGTTAGTATTTAAAATAATTTACCAAATATATGTAAGAAATAGTGCATTGAGGTAAACTTGATGTGTATTTATTGTAGTTTTTAGCTGTAAATTGCATGGCGATATGTTGATATATTTAAATCATTTCACTGACACAAAAGACGCAAGTGGCACAGGAGCTAAAATATGTATTAATTTAGGAGCATGGCGGGGACAACCAGCTTACCTTTTGAAAGAGGACATTTAAATGATTTTTCTAAGGATGCTATCACATGCCATTCTCCATAATAACCTTAAACAGGCAAATTAGCATCTTGGGGTGTTTTTATCAAGAAAAAAATAATGCCAACAGTAAAGACACCAAATTCTAAATTTGTAAGTTCTGCTGTATTTTTGCATATAGCATTCACAGCCCTTTTGATCAACGTCAATCCTGTTTATCATTTTGAAGAGGGTATAAGCTTACTTTTCAGTCCTAGAATTGTATTCACAGGTAGTTGAGGCTAGTATCTGATCAGTGGTGATAAATCCTTCTGTTAATCACACTTCCCCCTGCCCAAAGCAGAATCTTGCTCAAGAGTAAGTTGTCATTCACAATTCACCTGCATATTTGCCAAGCTCCAGGCCCTGTGATGTTGAATATTGTCAGTGAAATGGTTACATAGTCCAAACCCCATTGTGAGTAGGACTAACCAGTCACAGGCCTCAGCTGTAATGTTGAAGCAATAACACATTCTTTAGTAAAGCTTTAAGTTTACTGTTAAATGAAGTGTCAAATTAGTCTTAGTAGAGCCTAGTCACCAGAATAACTTGTATCTGAAAATACATATCGTTGTGTATTCATGTATGGTTTTATGCATGCATGTGGATTATATTGTAAATACAAAATATGCTGGTGAAATGGGTTGTTGTGTCGTGTATATGCTGTCATCCGTACTATTTCTAACTAGTAATCTTGTTTTGTACTGTGTGATGTCTGACCCTTCTAACATCGATCATTGGGCTTTGGTGAACTCTGATCCTTCCAGGTCTTCCAGGTTAGACTCTTAACTCGGTCAATTTATTTTACTGCGTTGCACTTGATGTAAGAGAAATGGATGTTTTCCTGTAATTCTCTGATTATCTTTTTAAGGACTATGGTTACCCTGCAGATTTTGTGTGTTTGATTTGCATGCCTCAGATAGTAATCTGTTACTATTTTGCATGTGTATAAAAGAGCAAAATGAACACAAAAAATCCTTGCATGATGGGATGTTTTTTGTAGCTGAAACTGCTACAGGATATGTGTGAAATCTGGTACAAAATTGCTGTTGATTTAAAAAGAAAAATTTTGGGAGGAATTCTATACTCAGATTTGCATGCAGAAATACAGCTCATCAAATTTATCCACTGAATATAGACTATGAGGATGTCAAAGGAGATGGTTAATTATTCGAGGTTGCAGAAGAATTGAAAATCCAGCGCACTGATAAATGTTATTAGATTTGTGGTACCACAGGGGAGAATGTCATAGAACTGTCCTGTAAAGAGATCCTTTTGTTAATCCAATTATGAGATCTAACTTGAAAAATGTTATTAGCTGTTGCTGCACTTGCTTACAGTTTGTTTTCCCACAAATTAATATCAGTTACCTTCTATTTAGATGGTGTCATAAAGGTGAGGTTCTCATCTTTCAGTTCTCCAAATACCTAAGTTTCTTTTAAATCCACTGCTTTGCTTTGGATTAATGTGGCTGTAGCAAAGGAAAAATATTGAAAGACCAGTCCAGTCCCTCTATTGGATTTACACAGTGTAATTCTGCTAAAGATAGACAAATCAGTTGGAGGGAGAGTCATTCAACATAAGGAGGTTTCTGCAACTCAGATTAGTATTTAGGCAAGGCAGAATGATGGGCTTCCTGCTGCCCAGCAGTCCGTAGATAGTATATATTGGGTTCCTCAATAGGCATGTCAAATTCTAACAGCAAAAAAGCAGCAATATTTCACATTGTTGAGACTGGCTTTCAAAAGGAATTCAGGCTGTTAAGGTAGCACTTAAGGGATGGTGAACGTAATGCAGGTCAGCAGAGGGGATATTTGTACCATCTAATTTTGGGTTTCTTGGCTCCTACCAAAGGCACCGGTCTGGTCACTGGTAAGCTTCTAATGCAGGTGAGTTGCACTGCCTTCTGGAAAGACCTGCTTCTCTTCATCAGCTAGATAAGGAGCCTTGGTTCCTGCTTTGGGTAGTGCAAATAATCCCTCTATTTGTTTTCCTTTTAGTTTATCCTGAATTCAGCATTGAAATAGAGCTGGGAAGTCAAGTCAAAATATCTTTAATTTTTTTTTTTTTTTACGCTGAAGGCACAAACCTGGGGAGATTAGTTGATGTGTACTGATATATGCTTATTTGTTCTGCAATGTTAAGGTCCACCAGGCCCAGAGGGTCCACGAGGGCCACCAGGCAGTGGAGGACTTAAAGGGGAAAAAGGGAACCCGGGTCAGCCTGGCCCACCTGGCCTGACTGGTCAAAAGGGAGATCAAGGACCACCTGGACGCCAGGTAGGACAAGAAATGGAGTTTTCCCCCTGGTTTATTTTTAAATGCAATAAAAATGGAATATATTTGGGTCGAATGTGCAGTGTATCATACTAAAATAAAAGCCAAAATGTGGTAGCTAACATCCTGTCTTGTAGCAAGTAAGAGAGGGTCTTTTCTTTAATTGACCCCTGGTATCTGGGCAGGATGTCCCCCGTTATATTCCCGTGGGAGCTGGAGCTGTCAATGCACAGGTCATGTTACAGCGTTCTCTGACAGCACCCAGTGCAGTGAGCAGAATGCATGGCCTCAGCCCTTCAAAGCCCTAGTTCACAGACCCAAAGTGTGCTTATTTGTCCCCTGGCCACCTTTTCTATCTGTTTTTCTGAAACCGCTGAGGGAGACGAGTGAATAACGTGAAGCTGTTCTGTTCAGGGTGATCCTGGTCGTCCAGGTCTGAATGGAATGAAGGGCGACCCCGGGGTTCCAGGCGTTCCAGGATTCCCAGGTATTTAACTAGCATTTTAAGTGAAAACCTCCAGACACAGTAACAGCCCCTCAGGGAGAAAAGAAGCCTGATTTTGGCCATTCCTGAAGGAGATTTTGTAAGACAGCATGCTCTTTCACTGTGTAACTCTGAATTTGATGTTTCAGGTATGAAGGGTCCCACTGGACCTGCAGGACCTGCTGGCCTCACAGGCGCTCAAGGACTGCCAGGCCCACCAGGTAGGAGTTCTGGTAGCCTTATTGTCACTTTTGCTCCCTGTTGGTAAAATTTGTTACACAGATGTAGAACTGGGTCCGTCTCAGCCAGCAATGAAAGTAGTTAAGTGAGCAATAGCTTAAACACAATTCCAGGCTGTACTTTTTAGCCTGACAAGTAATCCTGCCATATTTTACACTCTGTATCCAGTCTACAAGAATTAACCCCTGCAAGAGCTGTCCTTTGCGGGGGGGGTCACCAAGAGCACTTTTTTGCCTTGTATGTACACTTATTCTTTACATTGGTAGAGCTCTTGGCTTCTGACATTGCAATAAAGAATAAAATAAACTGTTTCTAATGCTCTCTTCCACCTTGGTTTATCTAATACTAAGCTGCTTTCTCCCAGGTCCACCAGGTTTACCAGGTACCATTGGACGAAGCATTGTTGTCAAAGGTGACCCTGGTCCCCCAGGTCCTCCAGGACAGCCTGGGTCAAAAGGGCCACCAGGACTGCCAGGACCACAGGGATTGCCAGGTAGGATCCTACGTGGCTGCAGAGAAAATGACTAAGAAGTATGGCTGACTGCAGGTTGCAATGCGAGTCACTTGGTGTAGGCTGCAGAGACAAGTCACTGAATTCAGCAAGAGGTAATAGGTAAATGTAGGGTTCTACCATATAAATCTGCTTTAATGGTCTGTTCTTGTCTAATGTATAACATAACAGAAAAAATAGATGAGTCCCAGACAATTTAAAGATTTCTGTAGTGCGTTTTCAAGAGCTTTTATTTCACTTACGCATTTGTCTATTCTAGGTCCAATTGGTCTTCCTGGTGACCCAGGGCGAGATGGACTACCTGGTTTTGATGGTCCAGCAGGACGTAAAGGAGACAGAGGTCTTCCAGGCCAACCAGGTATGGTGTTTATCCTATGAGGACCCAGTGGAAAAAGATGCTGCCTTTTGTGAGTGCAGGCTAATACTGGGAAGTGAGATTTTGCCTCATTGGAATAAGATGATCATAATTTTAGGATTTTCTTAATGCAAAAATACTACAAGCAGCTGAACATTGGTTCCAAACTTTGGTTTGGAATATTCTTGGAACCAACACATTGCTGGTCATTGCTGAGTAATATTGTAGAGTGCGTTATCCCAAGCTTAGTGGCATCCCCTTTGCAGCACAGATGATGCACAGGAGATAATGAAGATAGTAAGAAGCAGGAGAGAGAGATTAGTAAAATAATTTTAATTTTGCATGGAAGTCACGAATGGGGAAAACCAGACTTCATAAAGGAGAGAATTTCACCAAAGGCAGAGATCAAGTTACCATGCAGCTATTGCTTAGAAATACTGAATTCTGATTTGAGGAAACAAATCAGACTAGGCACTGGGACAATTTTCTAAAGAAAATTATACATATTAAGTAGCTACATATTGCAACTTGTGAGAAAAAGTATTAGAATTTAAACAGTTAAAACAGTACAAAAATCCATAATGACTTTTTTCTATTTTCTCTGAAAAGCTCTATGCTCTGTGAAATCTGTTAGCATCATTTTAGAGAAAAAATGTAAATAATAACGATTGTGGAATAACATAGTTTAAATATTTGTAGTTATATTTCCTGATATTTTTGCTGTTCAAGAACAAATGCCTTTTCTGATACCCTTCTCAGTCATAAGACTTGTTCCTTCTCTCCTTCAAGGTTGTTCTAGCCTATTTCCACATTCTGTAACCTACTCCAAAACTGACTGCAGCTTTTCTATTAATTTTGGTGGGCTTTGGCTCAGGTGTTATCATAGCATGCCCTAGAGTGAGACTTGCTTCCATTTCTGGCTCTGCCATTTATTGTGTGATCTTGAGCAAGATGTTTCAATGTTATCTTACTAAGCTGCGTGCACAGATAAATATGTTTTGGAACTGGGAAGCTGATTTGGACTCATTTCAGTGGCTGTCATGTCCACTGCAGTTGTTATCTTAGTGCCTCACAGCTCTGAATGTATTTAACTTCACAATACGCCTACAACACAGGGAAGTTACTTGCACTGTTATTTTATAACTAGCTATGACAGCCTCAGTGATTTAACCAAGCTTACATGAAAAAATAATTTGAGGAAGATAGTGTTAGCAGATACCAGGTTCCCCCAAGTCACAAGTACCTTAATCACAAGGCCATGCTACCTTTCAGAGCTGCATTAGTCCTGAAAGAGCAAGAAATGGTGTTAATAAATACTGTGTGCTGTCCTTCTCTCATGTAAACAGGTTCACGAGGAATACAGGGACCTCCGGGTCCTGATGGCTTACAAGGCCCACCTGGGCCTCCTGGAACAGCTTCTGTTGCTCACGGATTCCTTATAACTCGGCACAGTCAGACCAGGGATACACCACTATGTCCACAAGGAACATCAAGAATATATGATGGATTCTCTCTTCTATATGTGCAAGGAAATGAGAGAGCACATGGCCAGGATTTGGGTGAGATATTTTGTATGCGCTGTCTTTAAGGGGAAAGCTGCTGCTTCAAATCTCAGTCTTAGAGATTTCTTAGATGAGGGTGGGAATTGCATACTAAGATTTACTACCTCCAGAGATTGTGCATTTTCATTCAGGATGAAAGAATGTAAACCAAAACCGAGAAGTTAAGTTTTTCCCACATGTGACAATTTGATAGCACATGCTGTGCAGTCACAGGTGGAGAGGAAGAAATACACAACTGTTCTCCAAGAATTGCTATAAAAAGCAATGAAGTGAAAACTTTGCTGTCGTGTTTTATGTGTCTTGCTCTGTAGGTACTGCTGGGAGCTGTCTTAGACGTTTCAGCACCATGCCCTTCATGTTCTGCAACATCAACAATGTTTGTAATTTTGCATCAAGGAATGACTATTCCTACTGGCTATCAACTCCAGAGCCAATGCCAATGAGCATGGAGCCGCTGACTGGGCAAAGCATCCAGCCATTCATTAGCCGGTGAGACAAAGCAGGCTATCAGGTCTCTTTTTTTAATACCTGGATAAATAGCACATCTTATCCATGTATTTCCAACGCGAAGGTTTCTACTCTGGGAAATACTAGGAAAATAGCGTGTTTTAAAGTATTCATTGTCTTGAACGGTCTGTTTATGTGCAGCGGCGCTCATTAGAAGCTGAAAGGCTGTAAGAACACTCCCCAACCAAGGAAGCTATGTAATCAGCAGTGCAAGATCACGATGGACAGGAAAGAGAGTATAAGCTCTAAGATTAAGGCATTCACGTGGGGACTTTGAGCTTCCAGTTTTTGTTTTGGGAACTGCTTCAGTATTTTACCCAATGGTGGTTAGTGGAAATGCAGGCAGATTTTGCACTCCAAAATACTGCCTTAGTGCAGTTACAAAATAGGTGAGAAGTAGAAGCCTGGATTAATAGGACAGCCTCTGACAGGCCAGTTTTCCTCCCTTTCTCTGCCTAAGAATTCTTAATAAAACATACTCCTGTTTTAATATCTTGTGTTTCTCTGATACTTTCCCTGTGTCCAGGTGTGTTGTGTGTGAAGCTCCTGCTATGGTGATAGCTGTCCACAGTCAGACCATTCAGATTCCTTCGTGTCCTCCAGGCTGGGACTCCCTTTGGATTGGTTACTCTTTCATGATGGTAAGAACAGCCTCCTACTGCAAAAGTGGCTACATTTGTGTCCTCAAGTAGCTGCTTTAGGACTTTGTTAAAAACTGTAATGGTTGTCATTTGAAAGCTTCTACCTTCAGTTACTAACCATGGTGGCCAATATTAACAGTAATTTTCCCGTACACAGAGCCCAGTGTAACTGATACTTATGGAGGTGTCTGACACCGCATTATCCCAACCAAGAATGAGCAGTGGCTCTTTTAGTAGTTGAATGCTGTGCTGTTTAATTTTTAGCACCTAAGATTCTTGTTTGTGTGTTTCCTTCCTCCACCCCTACACCAGCACACCAGTGCTGGAGCAGAGGGCTCTGGACAGGCCTTGGCATCGCCTGGATCCTGTTTAGAAGAATTCCGCTCAGCTCCGTTTATCGAATGCCATGGTCGTGGCACTTGTAATTACTATGCCAATTCATATAGTTTCTGGCTGGCAACCGTAGAGGTGTCAGAAATGTTCAGGTAAGAAAACATGTTTCTTGCTTTATTGCAGAACGAAAGCTTTGGAAAAGGCATTTATTGCAAAGTTCAAAAGAAATTTGTTTACAGGGGTATAGGGAAATAATTTACTTTGTTTTCCCCTCACAACCAGTTTTTCAAGTGTTTCCTTGGTAAGCCCTTAATATTATGTACAAACTTGCTAGGGCATATTATGTTTTGCAATGAGTCCGATTCTTTTTATGTCAATTCTTATTCACATTTGGCAGTACCTTCTCTGAAAGTAGTCCTACTACAGTAACTGTATTTGGAGCCTAAAAGATGATTTTATTGGGTTTTTTTCTTGGCAGGCCTTTCAATACAGTCAAATATTTGAAAAAGTAGTTCACAGACACAGAAGGGACAAGTACGAAGGGCAAGATCAACTCCGCTTAAACATTTTAAGGCAGATGTTCATATAACCTGCTTTTAAAAGTCTTGCATGAAGGAGATTTTCACAGCAAGCATTTTTTTCCCATACTTTGCAGAAGAATTAGGATGACATTTTGGTGACAAGGAAGCCAATGAACATTCTGTCCTCAGCTTCTCTGCAGTCAGCATTTCAGCTAGAGTCCCTCAGCTCCTCAAACTTTTTCCCTTTAAACTTGAGTAGCAAAATAAATTTTTTCTTTGAAAAATCATCTCCTTTCATAGAATAAATTGCTACTGCCCTGTCTGTGTACTGATAAAAACCTTGCAAATATTCCTAATGCCATCATGTAGCATTGTGGTACGGGGCTGGCAACGTGCACTGTACGTGCACTGTGTTATGTAGCAGCTCCTAAGTTGGTTTTGTGTAACACCAACAACCATGCTACTTAATGTGCATTAAATAGTCATCACTCTACATTTTCAGGGTAGTTGATCAGCGGTAATTCACTAATGAAAACTGCCTACTAACAACTACCAGGCACCTTTGAGTTTTCTGTCTCTACTATTTTCTGTCCCCCATAAACACAACTTCCTTTTTTATTCTAATTTTTAAAAGACACTTTTAAGAATTGGACTTACACTGTGTACATGCACATTACACAAATATGTTATATTAATCTCCACCTCCCTACCCTTTCAGAATATAAATAATTTGGTAAAGCCATCACTTAAATACCAATCTCATTGTAGAGGTATTTTTAATCATAGAATCATAGAATGTTTAGGGTTGGAAGGGACCACTAGTGGTCATCTAGTCCAACCCCCCTGCAGTGAGCAGGGACACTGCTAACCAGATCAGGTTGCTCAGAGCCCCATCCAACCTGGCCTTGAATGTTCCCAGGGATGGGGCCTCCCCTACCTCTCTGGGCAACCTGTTCCAGTGTTTTACCACCCTCATTGTAAAAAATTTCTTCCTTACCTCTAGCCTGAACCTACCCTGTTCTAGTTTAAAACCATTTCCCCTTGTCCTAACACAGCTGGCCCTACTAAAAAGACATTCCCCATCTTTCCTATAGGCCCCCTTTAGGTACTGGAAGGCCGCAATCAGGTCTCCCCGTAGCCTTCTTTTCTTTAATGGGTTGTTAAAGTACCCTTCAACTGAGAAACCCAAAGGCTACAAACAAAGACGCCAGAAATACTGTCTCAAAGGTACAAAATGCACCTTCCACTCGGTTTGGTATTTGTGCTACATCATATGCTAGACTGACGTAGTTGATTAGCATACCTTGTATTGTGTGTTCTGAGACACTGGACAAAACTGAGCATCTCTCACCTGGTGGTGAAGACATCAGAAAGATCACCCTTAAGGAAAACTCTCAAACACAGAACTAATTCCCACTTAGGTACTTAAGTGTTATCTTGAACTGTAACTGAAGTAGAAGTTCTGTAAACAAAGAAAAAGCTAACCTAACCTTACCTTTGTGTCTGTCAACCAGTAAACCTCAGTCAGAGACACTGAAAGCTGGAGACTTGAGGACGCGTATTAGCCGTTGTCAAGTTTGCATGAAGAAGACGTAACGTCTTGGAGAATGTTTTATAAAACAGTTGAAAATTCCTAAGATGCACTGTCTTCCAGCTGCAACAATGGTGCTACTGTGCAGAAAGAAAAGAAAAAAACAAATCCAAACTGTTTTAACCATGCAAATTCAAGTGTACCTCACTCGTGTGCCAAACTAAGGGTTGTTTGGTACATATTTGACAACAGGACTAAGATGAAAGAATTGACCTCTTGGAAACAGAAAAGAACACTTGAGGTTCACAAAGGATCAGAAGATGAAATTTTTCATTTCTCTCCCTGTACCAAAATGGCACCTTCTTGATCAACCAAGAGAATAAAGAAAAACACGACGCACTGAGTATGTTTAAAGTAACAAGACTGCGGTTTTGAAAAACATTTTTCATGGTGCTACTAACCCTACTGTATCCCAGGTTTTTAATATGAAATTTTAAGCTTATTTCTCTTTGTAAGTAATGAAATGTGTATATTGTGTAAACACCTTTTTAGTTGAAACTTTCAGTCATTTAGAAACAAACCAGACTCTGATATAAAAATGCTTATGTCTAAAATGAAAACATACATCAGTATTTTATTATGACACTTGTGGTACAGAGAGAATTTACCCCTCTTATGCCAACTTACTCATTTAATATTTCATTTCCTTCCTCAGTTGCCAGCCTCATACATTTGGGGAATGCACAATTACTCTGAAGTCATTTTGATCAGGGTTTTAAATGTCGTACACCATGATATCAGTGGTTTTATTTGTGCTTAGAAATCCCAATCCACTTGAAAAGGTTTTTGGTTTTTTTTTTTTTTGTATCTTGTGAAAATATGTGAAATTACTAGCCATATTCTATATCCTTATTTTCTGAATAAAAGTCACATTCACATTTTAGTAACCAGTTTGGTTTAACGAAACCTGTTCCTTGGGAATATCCAGTTACCAAAGCATTTAAGATTATGCTTACATACTCTGAAGTGGTGTCATGCATTTTATCCAAAATAGTGTACACGCTAAGAAACCTTCTGAATAAAATAAAGCATAAGCTGGTGGAAACTGATCTTTTCCTATTGACAAATTAATCTTTTAATCTTATGTGAATTTATACACATCCACAATGTATTTACAGTATACAGCAACTCTTGTGTATGTACAGTTCACATAAGGCCTTGAAAGATGGTGCATGCAGTCTTTCTGATGTCATTTTGTAAGAATCCTACTGTGTATGTCTTAGACTGTCACTACTTGTGCAATAGCTGAAAAGTGATCACTTTTTTGTATGCATGACTGTTCAGCTTCTATGGTCAGTGCTGTTTCATTTACCCTTATGTATAAACAGAGCTCCCTGACAAAGCAAGACTATTTTTCCAGTGATGATACTTCAATATTTTCATTGTATATTGCCACCTCAACTATCAATACAACTTAACTTGTGAATTAACATACTCCTTTATACAGGTGAAGTGCATTTGTTTAGTGGCCACTGTTAAGTAATTTATCTGCTAACAGCTATTCATTCTTACCTTTCAGTTACCACTGTAAACATGGAGCATCAGAAATCTCCCTGGTTTATGCACATTTGACAAAAGACATAGGACTGGTGACTGACCAGGTGGCAGTGGTTTATACACTGGTGCCGATTTCAAAAGCTTTCAATGAAGTATGAAACTGAAGTTCTTTAGTTTAAAATGCAGAGTATTAATAGCTTTGTCTTTTTTCAATTAGCTGCAGTTATACATGTTGGTAGAGAGTGGGCAATTCAGGAATGTGCATCCTTCAACTCATTTTGTTTTGGTTTGCTGATGCATAGAAATAAACTGAACCTGCTGCTACCTCCAAGTCAAGAACTTGTTACCAAAGCTGAAATAAAATAGTAAGTCTCTCCTTATAAACACAAGCCCTTATCTTACTGCTGGCTCCTCAGAAGCCTAAAATAAACATAGCAGCCTCTCCCTTGCCCCCAAAAAAAGCAGAAAAATGGATGCTAAGGTCAAGGAGCTCCCAGAGGAGAGAGCTCTCCCAGCCTTCCCCGCCACCAGCACCTGCCTTACGCTCACTAACAAGAAATGTTCATGCACAGGGGCCTGGGAGAGGGCAGAACACATTTTTTCTAGTAGTACACGAACAGTGCATCCTTCTAAGGTTTCAGTTTCTCTTGCAGCAGGTGAAACAAAACCCACTGACTTGAAAAGATGGGAGAAACCGTTCCAATCTAAGGCAGATAGCACCCAGAATAGCTAGTCCTGTGGCAGCCTGAGGGCCCAGATCTGTGAGCTGACCACAGGACATGAAAATATGTAAAGTAGCTACACTTTTGACAGATACCTTCTCTGTTCTGTTCCTGCAGCTCTCACCCTGACCTGGAGAACAGTCCTGAACCTTAATCAGCTTCAGGCTGAGATTTCCAAATGGGCTAGTTTTATTAGAGAGGAAGGAGCATCTTTTAACCAAGACCTGCAGCAGAGATTCAAGAGATGTTGGTTTAATTCCCACTACACATTCTGTGCCTTAGAGCAGGTAAATCACTTGACCTGTGTTGGATCAGAGTTACTGATCTATAAAAGAAAGCATGGTTATTATTTTCTCCTACTACTTCTTGACTGCTTAGACTGTAAGCTCTTTGGGGCAGAGACATTGAGGGGGCTCAAATGCTGGTTGGGGCCTCTAGGTGCTATCCATCAGTATATAAATATTAAACTACAGGTAAAAGCTTGTGTTTGCAGATTTATTATTTAAAAAGTAAAAAAAAAAAAAAAAAAACCTCTTTTGAACATTAGAGCCTTAAAATAGCCTTCAACATAGCCTAAACATGATCTGGCTCAGAACACCACTTCTTCACCTGCAGTTAAGGCTCTTTTTCCTGAAGTTTGGTTGGTTTTAACTAAATATTTTGTTCTCTTAACTAATCACGTAAAGCTTGTCTATTTTAGTTAATTTTGAGGAGGAACCTGGAAGATAATCCATTGTATTTAGAAGTCGTATGGGGCCGAGTTGCAGGCTTCAGCCACTCGAGGGCACTACAGAGCTTTGAAAGAAAGCTAGGACAGAAACACTGCTGGCAGTGCTGGCATGCAGCAAGGACTTAAAAACAGCACTAGAAGAGGGAGAGCAATCCCTTGCTTTGCTCGCTGCCCAGTTCTTGTTCTTGGAAGCTTGCTGCAGATGGCGTACTGTCACTTGCAGCCGGGCCCATGAGTGAAAAAAAATGCAACTTGCTAAAGGAATGCTAGTTTGCAAATCCTCAAAACAGTAGCCTTATGCACAACTTTTGGATTTACACTGTTCTAGTATTAAAGAACAAAGTGCTGCTTAAGACGGGCTTTTCAGTATCTTCCTTCACTCTAGTTAAAGTCCTATTATAATCCTTGACTACAAGGAAAAAGCTGCTTTCAACCTCAAATTCATTTATGCAAAGTACAACCTATAAACCAAAATGGGCACACAGAGCAGTGCAGCAACATTTCTATGTGATGAACTAGGTTATGACATGCAAACTTCGTGCTTTAGCAGCTCTTAAGCGTGCAGCATTTCCCTCTTCTCTAAAGCTCAGTCCCCTCTAGAGTGAGGGTTTCTCATACCAAAGGGTAGAGGAAGTACCCATTTTTAAAAGTAGTTTTAGAATTTGAAAAAGCAATATATTGGTTCTGCAAGCAACAAATGCTCAAGTGTTAAAATTCGCTCTTCTGCAATTCTTTTCTGTATGCTTTGATATCTAGCTTAAATATTTTGTAGTCAGTATGCTGCCTGAACTGTACAGCAGTGCCATCCCAGGGACACCACTGAGGGAAGGTCATTTTGCCAGATTTGGGACTACACCCCTGCAAGCAGCATTATGTGTTTTTAACTGGTCCTTCCAGAAAAGTTATGCTTTAGGGAACCCAGCACTGTTGCTGGACACACACCGCTGCTGCTACTTGCACCCGCAGCACAAGCTGAAAATTGCCCAAGAGCCCAGAAGCAGGACACTCTTGCTAATGGAAGGCAGGAGCAGCGATTAGCTCAGGGGAGCTGTAACCCTGTTCTACATTTAAAATGTAGGAAAAGTATCTAGGACTATTAGCTTTTGAAAGAAAGCTTATTAACTCAACCCATTTGTAGCAGACAGGCCAACACTGCCTAAGAACAGCCCCAGCCAGCAGCGAGGTGAGGAGTAACTGGTCAACAGCGGACTGAATATGAGGCAGCAGTGTGCCCAGGCAGCCAAGGGGGCCACAGCATCCTGACTTGTGTCAGAAACAGCGGGGCCACAAGGACCAGGGAAGTGATTATGCCCCTGTACTCTGCACTGGTGAGGCCACACCTCAAATACTGTGTTCAGTGTTGGGCCCCTTACTGCAAGGACACGGAGGGGCTGGAGCATGTCCAGAGAAGGGCAATGAAGCTGGGGAGGGGTCTGGAGCCCAAGGCTGATGGGGAGCAGCTGAGGGACCTGGAAAAAAGCAGGCCGAGAGGAGACCTTATTGCTCCCTAGAACTGCCTGACAGGAAGGGGGAACCGGGTCAGAGTCAGTCTCTGCTCCCAAGTAACAGGCGATAGGACCAGAAAAAATGGCCTCAAGTTGTGCCAGGGGAGGTTTAGATTGGATATTGGGAAAAACTTCTTCACCAAAAGGGCTGTCAGGCACGGGAAGGGGCTGCCCAGGGACGGGCTCAAGTCCCCACCCCTGGAGATATTTAAAAGACAGGCAGACGAGGTGCTGAGGGACAGGGTTTAGTGGTGGACAGGTACGGTTGGACTCTATGATCTTAAAGGTCTTTTGTAACCAAATGATTCTGTGATGCTACGGTTAGCAAAGCAGGCACACTGCTGCCTTTTTACTAATAAAGGTGCTCGCTATAGCCCATGGGGGGAGCGCAGAATGGTGGCTGAGGCCACTGTGCCAACAAGCAGCTTAAGTGCCCACTGAGCTAGATTTCCTGACAGTCTCCTATAACCATAACGCTGCTTTAAAAACTTTTAAACTAACTCAATGACTCGGAAGGAACCCAAAGAAACTGAGCTTGCTGTTTCTTTAACAAAAGGGGAGCGGGGGAAGAAGTTCTTACCTCCCCGATACATACAGCAAGCTCCGCGCTCCTGCTCTCCCCTGAGACATGTTGCTTCACAAACCTTCATGGAAAAACGAGGGGAGAAACTGCTTTCTATTTGAGGGGAGACTATTGCTATAGCCACAAGAGAATGCAGGGATGAAAAAAAATTGCACTACAAACTGTATCATTACCTGGTAACTCTGAAAAGGTCCTTCTTCCCTGCCACAAACCTCTCCTTCCCAGTTATTTGATTATTTCCAGTACCATACTGCTCAGTGGGATGCAAGATCCATTAGAATTGGTCAATGTTATTTCAGAACAAAGGTTTTTAACTGTGTATTCTAGTGACTGTCTTCAAATTCAGATAGGAAGACTAACTTGCCTTCTGGTTTTAATTGAGGGCTTTCACCATGCTTCAGAAGCAAGAGAGTTCTGTCAATGATTCACCCAAAGGGGGTTGAAAAATTAGTGCAAAACTATGTCCTCCACCCCACCTCCCCCCCAAAGCCCCCTCAAGCAGCTAGCCCATTCCAGATCCCATCAGACATTCAGTCAAAGGTCTCTTACAGCAGCTATCCTGACACTCTTGCAACAGCCCGTAGTGTTTGGATTATTTTCAGTTTGTTTACTGCTGGTGAGGCTGTTTCTGCCACGTATGAAAAGCACTCTTTTCTTTTTCTTCCCAATACAGGCTACACACTATGAGGCCCTGAGTCAGGGGGCTGGTTTATTTGAGGAAAAACCCTATTCTTACAGCAAACTTGACTTTCACAGGGAGTTGGTTTAATGCACCATTCTGAGGAGCAGGGTAAGAATTACATCACGTATTTTTAAAGAAAGAAAAATCTAATCCAAGACATTTCACAGTAACCCCCCACATTTATGGAGATCATACACACTCGCCTCTATGGATAAAAACTTCCTATACAGAATTACTGACATATCCTTCACACCAACAAGCACTTTGAAAGGGCGCTACATGTTGCTGATACTTTCCAACTTAAGTTCAGTTGTTTTTACAAGCGGGTGCATTACCTGAAATGATGGGATACCTAATGGGGTTTTGGCTTTACATACCGAGACCTTAATTTAAACACACATCAAACCGAAGTATTACTACAAAGCCACACTTGTTCCCTTCCACCCTGAACTCTGAAGACAGGAACCTATTTGATACTACACTGCTAAAAATCCCTTCCAGGACTTGCACTTTTTGAAACTTCCATACCCAGTCATGGACAAAGTTATGGACAAAAAATTGCCACAGTCTTTGGCACTTAAAGCAGAAAAAGAATGGATCAGACACTGATTTTTTTTTTTTTCCATTCAGAAACTCAGTTGTTTACCAGCACTATGAATCTATGACAAAGAAAACTTCTGGGTGTTTTGCTGTATGTTACCTTTTACACTAAGTGGCAGAGAAAATTGGACAGACTGGGAATCACTCCCCCGAAATACGCTAAAAGCTTCTCCAAATCTGCAGGGACACAGGGTGACAAAACCACTTACAGACGAAAGCAGCCGCAGCAGGAAGAAATGCACTTCTGACAGAAAAAAAAACCCAAAAGTTTGTTTAAAAAGAAAACCCAGACACGGAGCTACATGAACACGTATTTACTGCAAGTAGCTCTATGGAAAGCCAAGTCAGATAAATATAAACACTATACAGAGCTTCAAGCCAGTCTCCCAAAACCGCAAACGCGATGTGTTTTACAAAGAAAACAACATAACAATATTTACAATGGAAGACAAAGCCAGATCAATCAGCTCAACTTTAAAACAGATCTGTGAAGCAGAAATAGCAAATATAATGAACAGTTTCAACCATATATGTTTTAGTTTGTACAGACAATAACTGTCCAATATCAAATTAAATTTACAGGACAAACATTGTTCTATCATTGGTATTTTTGTACTATACAGCAGCATAAACGGGTAGCTGGAAGGTAGTATATATAGTGATATGTTTTACATCATCTGAAAATGTTCTTCCAGCACAATACTGAATAAATTAGTTGCTGTAAACTAAGAGATTCAAAAAGATTGCATATTTATTATGCCGTACCTATTAGTATTTGTACCACTATACTTGAGGTTACCCATTTACTTACTTATTCAGCATTTATTAAATCAGTGCTGTATATTGTACAATGGCAGCCTCAGGGATCTAATATGAAATATGTGTGTAACAAATTTCTTCAAAACAACCTTTTCCGTTCACATTAAATGTTTAGAACTATCTTCATCCAAATTTTTTCATTTTTTAGAAAAGATGTAAAGCTTTATAAAAAGCTGTCTATGTATTGCATTATTAATTTAGGAGACCAAACAAAAGCTATATGGCAAGACAGTATCATGGTCTGTAAGAGTGGTCGTATTTTTCATTAGTGTATGTTTAGCAGCAACAAGTAACTGTACCAACTTAAACTTCTCTTCCAGAATCAAAAACAGATCTGTGCTTTTAAACCCTGTAGCAACAGTTTTTCCTGTCACTAGACACTGCGTAAATGGATCGGTACCATGTGTCCAAAAAAAAAAAAAGTCTTCATATTTTAGTGACATGTACATTTTAATACTACTCAAAAATAGATTTGGGTACACATCACCGAACAATCGAAGTTGACAGTGTCTAATTTGTTATGCAAACTGTACTAGCAATTTAAAGGTTGTATGTTAGAGGTGAGGCAGCCTGACAAATCAGTTGTACAATATACAATGTAGAGGATTACCAGCTGTGTGGTGCAGTACAGCATGAGGATTTGTGTACCACTTCTAAACCCTTTATTAATCGTCAGTGCCTTTTATTATACATTGCATGTACCAACGACGAGTGTCATGCTCTTTAAGTTCATAGCAGTGTTAAAAACCTAAATTCATTTCAACCAAAAAAAAAAAGTTCAGTACAAGAGTGAAGCACTTAAATTGCAGAAAAAAAAAAAATCAGGGCTTCTTTTAAAAACGTCAAATAGTTATTGTTCGCATTTCTGTAAGTGGGATAAAGACAATCGATGAGCCAACATTTTACTTCTTTCCCCATTATGCCAGGAAGAAAGAACAAAAATAGTCCCAAATTAAAAAATGGGGCTTTGGTTGAAAGTAAGATCAATTAGGGTGGTTTCCCTTTAAAAAGCTACAGCTGACAAATATAATGCAGAAGTCACAAACGCTGGGTACGACTCTGCAGTTCTCCATTTGAATGCATGAACAAAAACCTCATTTTACACAATTCGTATTTATAAACAAGTATCTTGAGGGTAAGAACAAAAACAATCTACAAGACAACCAGCCCATTAATCCTACTTTGTACATACCAAAATTCTGAGCAAAAAAAAAAATAATTCAGTTTAAGCTCTGACAGACATTTGATTTAAAATATTCTAGCCTATGATCAAGAAATACCTCTTGTACCATAAAAGCAAAACCTTAAAAAACAAAAAGAAAAGGCAGAAGAGGTCTCTCCTTCTCAGACCAGTTCAGTCCCACGGGTTCGCCCCTCGAGCTAAGGTGCACCTCTCCCTCCCTCCTTCCGCCCAACCACCTGAAAAAATCCTGAACTGCCAAAATATTTCTAAACAATACATGTTTTAAGCTAACCACTTGTTAATGTACCAGAGAAGCAAAACCCATGTTAAGCAGACAATCAGAAACCAGCTTTGACTTCTCAGAATATAAATTAAAAAAAAGTAATGGGAGAGGCAGGAGGAAGAAAGGGGCATAGAGGGATCTCCTATCAGCATTCACACTGCCTCCCAAATAGGTATGACATGAAAGACCAAATTCCATCACCAAAGCACAGCTATGAAAAAAAATCTCAATTCAAATTAATTCAACTGTAGGGAGCTGATGTCTATGAAAAAAAATTAATTAAAAGGATGTGTGTCTATGTCCGTGCTGGTGGAAATGAAAGTAGCCGGCTGGAGCTGAGCTTTGCTTCCAAAAGCACCACACAGTTTCTGGAGTTACCAGCAGAAAAGTCTTCTCTTCCAACAATGGTTCCCATGGCAATACAGTCAGTCTAGAAAGGAAGGGGGGGGGGAAAAAAAAAAAAAAGGACAGGGACATTTTAAGTGCAAGTTATATTGGAAAAAAATATTTTCTAGCGAGGAGAATACCAGGAGGTTATCCACTCCAGTGACAGCTGCTGGATGCAGAACACGGGGCCCTCACGGAGGGAGGGGACACCACCAGATGATCCCACGCTCAGAAACCCTGAGCCACCAGCAACAACCCCAAAGTCTGAAGCAAGCGCTGAAGAGAAAAAAAAAAAAAAAAAGGTCAGTGACATTTTAAGTGCAAGTTATATTGGAAAAAAATATTTTCTAGCGAGGAGAATACCAGGAGGTTATCCACTCCAGTGACAGCTGCTGGATGCAGAACACGGGGCCCTCACGGAGGGAGGGGACACCACCAGATGATCCCACGCTCAGAAACCCTGAGCCACCAGCAACAACCCCAAAGTCTGAAGCAAGCGCTGAAGAGCTGCGGCAACCACGGAGCTGACACGTGTACGCTGCACAGGAGCTCGGACTGCAGCCAGCACCCTACTGCTAGCCCACGCGCCGCGGGAAGGATCAAAGCTCCCGGCTACCCATCACCTATTTCACTATCAATATTTCATTTAACGAGATCTCGTTCCTCTCCAACGCGACGGGCGACGCGCATAGCAGAGGCTATTAGTAAGCACGCAGCGGCGGGTGAACGCAGAGCAGTTCTGTTCACCCAGTTGTAATTAAGGTTGTGGCAAACACTCCCATTCGCAGCAGGTACAGAACTGCAGTGTAAATGCTCCCTGCAACTCCGGCTCCAAACAAGGAGCGTCAAGTCATGGCAGCAGTGTGTCCTGTCCTCAACTTTTCAGGAAAAAAAAGCTTAATTTAGTTACGATACAAAAGACCTCGGAGTATAGTTTTCTCTTTTTCAAGAACGTCTCGCTAAAAGGCAACACACGCAAAGCTATGGCAGACAGCAGCCTTACTGCTGCCAGCAAAAACCAGTGGCTTCAAACTGACTGGGAAAGGCAAAATACAAAATGCTTGGTAAAATGAGGGGAAGAAGATACAATCTTGTATTACAGGAAGGTAACAGTTGATGAGGCAGAAAAGGCAACAGGAGAGAGGACGACCTCAAAGCAGAATGCCGGCTCTGCAGTTAACCATGCACACGCCAAGGTGAGTGACCCAAAAGGTTCCCGACACAGACAGATCTGATGAAGGGGATGCGAACGCTTTCGGCAGCAGTGAGCACACAACTTGAGGAATGTACGAAAAGTCACTTTTCAGCTCACCACAAAGCCCCTTCCACTCGCAGGAGAGCCAGTGTGAATGCAGATTTTCAGTCTGGAGGGGTAACTACCAGCCAAATCACTGGGTTACACTGTCTCCTAGCCCTGACAGACTGTTCTCTTCCAACTTTTTTGCCCTCTTGGCCAAGACTGAGGGCACTGTCCTCTGCCCATCAGGTGGCTTTGGCCACCTTCTCTTCAAGGTTTGAGGTATGTGCCTCTGGGATCCGTTTCCTGGCATTACAGGGAAAAAGGAAACAGCAGGTTGCTCTCATTGAGAAACAACAGCTAGCATAGAGATTTAGCCTTCAGGAAACATCAAAAATACAGAAACATTGTCTATTTTTTCCCCTTGAAGCCACACAGTACAAGCGCTCTCACCGCTCTAGGAGAGCTCACCGCCATTGAGAAGAGCTGCAATGCTGGGAACCCTTCATTACGAAGCACGGCGATGGCCGCATGGCCCGCAGGAACGAAAGAAGGGGTTTTGGAGCTTCATCCTGCCTGTGCTCTTCTGCAGGGTCACAAGGAAATCAGTTAAATCCCATTGCTAAGGGAAGTATAGTGCTTCACTGCCTCTGCCACAGGAATACGCTAAAGAAAATGCGAGCATCTAAAAAACAAGCATTATGTATAATAATGCAAACCTGTATGTTTACTTATATAGCTAATCATAAAGTATGCACACACAAACTCCACCCTAAGCGAGAGAGGTTCTGATTTCCGTCCAGCTAAAAATACTGCCCCTTCAAAAGAAAGAAAGAAAAAGAAAAAAAGACCAAAGCTCAGATGAACTGGACTGAGCAGCCCTGCCCCTGTGACTGCAGCCGGGACAGCCCCAGCTCTCGGCAAAAGCTGCCCGTGGCTCCAGAGACAGAGAAGCAAGGACCACGGCGGGGCTGGAAGCAGAGCAGGAGCACAGAGGGGTCCTTCGACTTCAGAGAAAACTCCCTTTCATCCCCCTACACAACCCACACCACGGTCTGGGTTGCTGAGTTCCTTTTTTCAAACACGTAGTGATTTCAAAAATACATTAACTTTGTTTTCCACAATTCAAGGAAGAGACAGCCAAAATACACCCGCAACTCAAGAATCTCCATTTGTATTATTTCACAGACATCATAAGATCACTACAAAAAGCTATTGCTTGTTACACGCAGAGCGTGATGTGGTTAGCGATGGCTTTGTTTTCACAAAAGCCAAGTGAAGCTATTATTTTTGAAATAGTTTTCCTCTTTAGAACAGTATTATTTTGTTGTAGGACCAAAGGATGAAAATACGCACCACAGCTTGCAATGAATCACACCTCAACGATGCATGCAAGGCAAACATTAAAACAGTTAAAGCTGCTTATATTAAACTTATATTCAGTAAAAATGAACATTTACCAGCATCCCCCCACCCTCTCCTTGCTGTGGACCTATAAGCTTACATAAAAGGAACTTCAAAAATTGTCTCTGCTTTTGTCAGGACATTTTTCCTCCACGCCTAACACAAGGCACACCTGAAAGCTGTTTGACAAGTTATTCTAATCTCTCCAAGCGTATCCCCAAAACATTTTGAAGAGCAAAGGCTCAATTGCTTGAATCGGACAATCCCGTGTGGCAGAACTCAGTATTTGTACCTAAAACCTTTTGAAAGCTTTCATAAACTTATGCCAAATTACACTTAAGATACTTGGAGAGGAAGGGGAAGAGCTTGGGGAAAAAAAACCAAACCAAAACAACACAAAACCAAATAACCACCTGCTTAACTCCCAAGTTTGATTCTTCGAACAAGCCTGGCATAACTCCGAAGGCAGCACGATAACCAATCCTAAAGCAAGCTCACCGAGTAACTCAGAGCCCAGACTAATTTATAAGAAACCAGAAGAAAGTATCCTCAAGTGGGCTTCACTACAGCTTATAAATTCCCTGGGTGTCCTGGCTCAAATACCATTTTACACCAGCCTAAGGGCAAGCTCGGGACCTCCCTGCAGCGTCCCCCCCTCCCAAAGCTCTGCGCTTGTTAAACACAATCTCGTTAATTTGTCCCCCCTTCTCCCTGTGATTATAATCTCTACTTCAGCACCTTTCCTCTTCATTTCTAAGCTAAAACAGAATTGTGGGAACTGTAAATAAACATAGGGGAGTTTCACATAAACATTACCTACAAGCTAATAACAGTCTCAAAGCCTTCAGTCGTTCAGACACGGAGTTATTGGTCGTCACCACTTCTCTAATTGCTTTGTTAAAGCTGAAAATTTCAATATTGCAGTTGGAGCAGTACCGCTGGCTGATGCCCTGAGTCACCAGCTCTTTTTTGGGATGAAAGCATCAAGCACTTAGATAAATAGATACAGATATAAATTGATATATATGTATGCAAACACATATATCGGTATCAGACAGAAAAGGCAAGAAGAAACTCATGAAACTTGATCACATTAAAAAAAAAAATCCCTCTGGAATCTAAGACAAGGCTGAGGTCTTGCAATATCTCTCCCAGAAAGCGTCTGCAGTCACCGCCACTGGTGAGGGCGGCTCTCGGGAGTCCATGCCCCCCTAGAGCAGGGCCACAGCCGGAAAGGCCGGCGGGTCACCCACCACCAACCTCCAGGCATCGAAGAAATCCCACATCACAACAAGCAGAGTCTGCGTCCAGGGGCGAGCGGGGCCTCCAGCAGCACCAGGGGCAGGTTCTGCAGTCGCAGCCACAAAGCCCCGATGCAGATTTCTGAACCATGAAGTCACAGGAGCTCCAGCTGATGCAGCTTCCCCCACCGCCTCCTCCCAGGAAGATCTGCCCTGAACCACCCCGCCTAAGAGCATCTCACCCTGTAGTGCCAGAGCTGCCGGCAGGGAGCGAGCGGGCACCCCGGTGTCAACGGGGCAGGGGTTTTGTTCATACAGGCACCTGCACCCAGCTGTGGGAAAGCACCGCGCGTGCACATACGCCGCAAGAACAGTTGTTAGTCAAAGAGGTGTAAAATGGGGTTAACGTAAGCGAGAACAAGGCCAATGCCTGTTGTGCTGCCGATACCCAGAGCTCATTTGTGGATTTCCACCTCTGTGGTTCCTCGCCAGAAGGATCCTTAGGAAGCGACGTGGGTTTATTTAGCAAGGTTGCAAGAACACTCAAAGATTAAGCTCCTCGGTGGCTCCTCTCTCCCACACCTCATCTTTTTCCACCTTTTGACCAGGTGAAGGTAAACTAATGGAGGACATGAAGTGCTCAAAGCAAGCAACACTGCTTCTGTGAAGCTGGATAATCTTACTCCTGTCTTCGTCATGCAAGATTCATCAGCCAAGAGTTGTCTGTGTTAACAGTACAAATATGAGAATCGACGATCAACAACAAAAACCAGATTAACATTTTATTACAGATACATGTAAATGTGTTTGGCTCAACACTGCTGGTAAAGGAAACAGCCAGAGAAATGGATGAAACAACTCTTCTAAAAGGAAAACAGATTAGGAGATGTGAACTAGCCAGGAAGAGAGGAACAACACTCAAAGTAGCTCATCAGTCCCTTGGAGTTCTCAAAAGCCACTAAATAAAACTCAGTGGCCAGATCAGACACGACAAGTTTGAAGATAACTTTCACTTGCAGCGTAAACATGCTGCTGTTCCTGGATCCTCACGAGCTCTTCCAAGAAAATCTGCTCAGTCTACCAATAAATAAATAAATAAATAAATCTGGTAACTGATCACTGCAAAAAAACAAGCAGCAAAAACCTGAACTCAAAAAACCCTCTGAGCTTTTGAAGCAGCCCAGAAATACACTACTCCGAGTAGTTTTCATAGCACCCTACACTCAGCTTTTCTGTTTATTCAAACTTCAGCTCCGCTAAAAGATTCTATACAAAGGCTTCAGCCTTGATTCAAAATTGAGCTCTACTGCTTCAGAGTATCGAGAAGAATACCAGTTCAACTTCCTATGACTGTTCAATATGGAAAACAAGTCCAGAACACATCCAAACATTTTCACAGATCACCTCTCAAAATAGAGAAGCACAGTTTAGAAAATTAAAACAACGTTCTCATCATTACACAATTCCATTTAATCAGTTTAAGATGGGATCAGATGATAAATCTACACACAGCTGGCTGAATCTTCCCAAGGAACAACCAAGAGGAACAGGATTGCAGGGGCAGAAGAGAAACTGAGAGGGCAAATAGTTAAAATAGGTTGGCAGTATGCCATCGCTCAAAAGTGTTGTGTTTAAAATTAAGGAACACCCTGAGAAAGTGCTCTGCAAGTTTTCTATGCAAAAGTAATCTACAGTTTTATAAAAATTAAGGGCAGAGGATTAGATTAGTTTTAATTCATTAGACTGCAAACCCAGTGTGTTCCATTTGAAAATATATCAGGTGAGAATACATCCAATTTACACTTAATTTCCTGCATCTGAATTATTAAGGCCATACAACTCAGGCCACTTTGAAACAAACCACGAGGGCTTAAGAACATTGCAGACATATCCTCATTCTCTCAAAGAAAATCCATCCTAAATAATATCTGTTTTTACAGGAAAGGCTTTCACTGACATAATTCTGCAACTGATTCCTAAAAGGATAAAAGCTTTGCTTACAGAAGATATTAATTTAAGATAATTAAATGATTAAAATCTCCATGTCAAAGACTTAAGACAGCTTAATGCTTTCTGGAGAACACTACTGAAGTTCTCCATTTCCTGAACTTCAGGTTAGGGGGAAATCGGAATTAATCCGACTTACGCAGATCAAAAAGCAGCACAACAACCCGAGACTTTCTTGCGCACATGGCCACACAATATTCCTGTTGTTCAGGAAAGCATCAAATCCCAGCACAACCCCAGGACATGGCGTGCACATCCAAAAGCATTCTGTTCACGCCACCCGGGCGGGGCAGGAGGACTGCGAAGTTTTACACTCCAAGCCTTCCGCATGTCGGGAGGTAATTTGCCCAAATACATTCTTCACAAATTGGCAAGAAATTTTTTTTGCCCCAAATCTTACCAAATACGTAGTTACTATCCTATGTCGTTGTCCTATTTCTTCAAGTTCTGATTTTGACAGCGCACCTTCAGACCTTGCTAGAGGCAAGCGGTGTTATTTGAAAAAAGCAGAATTCCTTCTTATTTTGCACGCGCAGCCACCAAGTCTACAAATACAAATCAGAAGAAGTGGCACATTTACTGTGGCCACTGCAGAGGCAGTTAGGGTACCTGGGTAACCCAAACGAGGCCCTGACACCAAAAGGCATCCTTATTTGGGGAATGTGCTCAACTACTTGCTTACCATTAAATGCGTATTTCACCTTCTTTCTTCATTCAACAACAAACTAATGATGCTCAAATTGAGCTAACGAATATGTTTTGTACCTAAGCAAGAAAACTAAATCTTCTTTAAAAACTCCAAACTGTTACATGACCCACTTTTCATTGGATAAATTATTTAAACAGTGACTGGTAACAACACATCCCAAGCTGCGTGTCTAAAATTTAGAAGTTACTCTTACAAATAATCTTTATCTACAATTGTTCATTCAAAACATGGTTCCACTATTCTTCGTGCTTCGCAATTTCATGAGCTAAAAAACCCTCCCATGCTTTGAGATCGGGTTTACTCCCTTTGCAGAAATGCCTTATCTTTTGCAACAGTGGCTGCTTCTCCTGCTTCAATGAACAGTAGGGGTGTTTCTAGGAAGGCCTTACGCACACTCCCTAATTTCACCTCTTTTACTGATACTTTTCCTAGAACTAGGAAACTCGCCTGCAGTTCTGGCAGGGCCCTAACACCAACTCAAATAGCACCGACAGCTTGACAAGAAGTTGTTGGGGGTTTTGGAGGGTTGTTTTTTTGGTTGGTTGGTTTTGTTGTTTGTTTGGGTTTTTTAACTAAACTTCTATTACACTACCGCAAAACAATACTAAAAATTAACTTCTCTCCACTTCTGAAATTTTGAACTTCTGTGTGTTCTGAATTTCATGTTGCAGAAGACTGAGAAGAAGTTCTGCTTTTTCAGAAGTCACTCTCATGGCAAGCGTATAAGATACGACGACTAAACTGCAGAAAACATAGGTAAATTTTAGCCAAAAAAAAAAAAAAAATCTTGTTTTTGTGGCTTCTGAGAATACCACCTGCTACAGTTCACTCTGCTCTCGTGACAAAGGTTGGGAGCCCTGAGGTGCCAGTAGAGAGGAATATAGCTCCTGCCCGGGCTCTTGCTGTAAACTGGATGTTAGGAACTGGTAGGAAACGAATAGGAAAGAAAACAGCCACGTCAAATACCGGTGCTGAGCAGCACACACAGCTCTGGTTCCCTCATTCAAACAGGACTTGGAATAACTGGAAGAGTTTCAGAGTGGTGCAGAAAAAAAAAAAAACTCATGAAAGGTGTGAAACAGCTTCCCAGTGAGGAACAGGCAGGTAGCAAGGACCCTTCAGCCTGCAGAGGAGTATCAGAACACATCAGGAAATTAAAAAAAAATATTATTCTGGAGGTCCCTGCTGTGTGCAGTACAGGAAGCTGCTGACAGCACACTGGCGAAGTGCATGGCAGAGGAGGATACAGCATCTACACAAACCTAAGTGGCATGGAGAGAAAAGACAGGGCTCATTAATACACAAACTAGGGGCTGCTAAACAAAGCCAGGATGGAGCAGGGTCCAAAACAGACAGAGTTCTGCATGCAGCGCGTACTGAGTCTGCTGCAGGCTGCTGTGGGTACAAGGAGTTTACGCAGGATCAAAGAGAGATTGGAAAAGTACTTGGATTAAAGATCCATAAAGGATTATAAACCAGACAAAACTACATCAGGCTCAGGAAATCCCTCAAACTGGAGAAAAAGAAAAAAAAAATAAAAATCAGAGGCTGGGTGTCTGTTTGTGGGGCAGTTTTACACACGCCTTGCCCTGCTCTTCCTCGCTGGGTGGTGTCTGCTTGCAGGCACGGGTCTTCGCTTTGAGTGAGCAAAACCATTCTTATGAGCACAACTACGGGGAAGGACAGTGTCGCTCATGACTAATGAAACAGCTCCCCACCCTTCAAATCCCCTTGCCTGGTATTTCCTTTCTACAGGAAGTTTTGCCTTTCTACAGAAAGTTTCTGCTGTTCTCATTCATCCCTTTGCTCTTCCCAACCACTTTAGCCATCGATGTCTGGAAGCATCCAGCACTGGCTTTTTCTTTCACCTCTGTTGCCTGTCAAAGGCAAAAACTTACTCCATGGCCACATACCCAAACAGTTACACCCTCCTCAGCCGTACCTTTTGCCCAGGCGTGCCTGCACAAACAAAACAAAAATCTTTGCAATCAGCCACTATCTGCTACCACACACAACAGCATCATTTCTTTACATTTTCTAATTCACACATTATTGAGTCTACATTAGCAAAGGATACCCAAAACCCTGGCTTAAGCAGGGGAGGAAGAAGAAGGGTTCAGATTGCACTGCATGTGCAAAGCGAGGTCTTCTCAAATCACAGCACATGCACAAGAGCCAAGGATAGGGTCTGCAGGAGCAGCCCAGGAGCTCACAAACGACAGAGTTACACTGTGTCTACACACAGACAAGTTTTAATCAACAGCGTGCAACTCTTGTTTAGGGTTTACCTGGTGGAACATGCATTAAGATTTCAATCACTTACACCCTCAGCAGTGAATCAAGCCTTGCTGCTGCCACCGTTTCCAGACTCACCCGCAACCACTACAACCTGATCTCCCGACACAGAAATACAACAACTTTCTCCTGCCAAAGCCATCGTTTCACACTCCAGCTTCCACAGGCTACCCTCGAGCAGCTGAACGCACTGCAGCAGTGATGAGCGGGTGCCATCCAGACCTCCCAGTTTAGAGCTGGACTCCAGATGCTCTGACACACTGGTTACAAGTCCTAAAGGTGAATACATCTCCCAAGCCACACCGCGGCCTCCTCCCCAACGCTAGAAGGTTGCCTGAAACCCAGAGATGCCACCCAAAAAGCCCCTGCAAAAAGAAGGAACCAGTAGTAATGCCAAGGCAGCTCCATCACCCCAGCTGCTTCTGGAGCAAAGTCTGACAAAGAACAGAGGATGCAGATCCACACGGCATTAACTGCCACGGGATGCTGCACAGGGTGATCCTGTGCTCTGGTAAAGAGTCCTGCACGACTCCTTGCAGCCATATGACTGACAGATTTGGTGCTGGAAAACTAACGTACAGAAAGGAAAAAGGAAGAAAAAAGG